GGACCCCCTCGAAAACGAGATGGTACATCTCAAGGGGTTTATCCAGATAAATAAATTTGTTTGTTCAAAAAAAGCACCTAGTGACAGATCTAGACTCTCTGTTCCCAGCTAATACTAGACTGAAACCAGCTGACACTAGACTGAAACCAGCTGACACCAGACTGAAACCAGCTGACACCAGACTGAAACCAGCTGACACCAGACTGAAACCAGCTGACACTAGACTGAAACCAGCTGACACCAGACTGAAACCAGCTGACACTAGACTGAAACCAGCTGACACCAGACTGAAACCAGCTGACACTAGACTGAATGATGTTATAACGAGATGATGTGTTGTTTGTTGTTTACCGTGGTTCAACAACAGTTTTCAACTACGTCCTCAGTTTGACACTGTTGGGATTCACTACATTCAAGATGATGGAAACCACGTTCTTTTGCTCCACAGACAAAAGAACTCACTTCCCAACAATTCTTCAATTTTAACACATCGGTGATGCAGGTGCCACATAGCCAGACATAATTTGAGACTGAACCAACATTGGCTTTCATTTTCCTGTTTCAGGATGGTGCCCCTGAGGAACTTTAATTAATTTTAAAGTTACTAATTAATATTGACATTTTTAATATTAATATTATAAGTTCAGTCTGTTATGTTTCTGTTTTAGTAAAAGTTTGAGTCTTTAATTTTTTCTCTTGAATGAATTAAATGTTGCCGAACATAAGAGCAGACAAACATATTAAAACCTGAACACCAGTGTGTGTGTGTGAGTGTGTGTATGGACTGCAGCTGAGGAACCAATCAGTTTGGTCCTCTACATGTTTGGAGAGTGTTAGTATGCAGAGTAGAGTGTGTGTGTGTGTGTGTGTGTGTGTGTGTGTGTGTGGGTGTTAGTGTGAATGTAAAGTGACTTTTTGTGAAACCTTGAGAAAACAGCAGCTTCAGCAGTTTATTCAACATGGCTTCAGTCAAACACTGAAACACATAAACACACATTTACCGAGTACGTGTACTTCAGTGCAGTACTAGAGGTACATGTAGTTTACTGGAGTATTTCCATTGTATCCTTTGTTATTATACTTGTACTGCATTTATGTGATAAATGAAGTTGTCAGTTTGTATGCAAATTATGATTTTACAAACAACTAAAGACCACAACCTGTACTTATTACATCAGTACTCAGTAGATATTACTACATCATTACATCAGGAATCAGTAGGTATTACTACATCATTACATTAGTACTCGGTAGTTATTACTGCAACATTACATCACTACATCTGGACTCGGTAGTTATTGCTACATTACTCAATCAGTACTTGGTAGTTATTACTATATCACTACATTGATACTCATTAGCTATTTCTATATTACTACATCGGTACTTGGTAGTTATTACTATATTACTACATCAGTACTCAGTAGTTTTTACTATATTAATACATCATTACATCAGTACTCACCAGTTACTACTACATTATTACATCAGTACTCAGTAGTTCTTACCACATTATTACAAATGGTTTAATTCAGATCAGCTTTCTAGGCGTCTGAGTATTTTAGCTTTAATTCTTCATTCCAGTATTTCATTTAGTGAGTCAGTGTTTGGTTGTTGTGTTTGGGTTTCACTGTAGTTATCAGCTGTAGTCTTGCTGTTATTTTCATTGAAGTTTAGCTGTTGTTGGTTGTTTAGTTTTTGCCAAAGCAGCTGCACAGATGTGTTTCAGGCAGAAACCAGATGTCTGATGAAGCTTCATCTGTTTCTTTTAAACCCACAGTTTGACTGAGTTGTTAAAGTTGTTAAAGTTAAATTTAAATTTTAAGTTTTTAGAGAACATGAAGTCAGAGCAGCTTCCTCACGTTTGTCACAGTGATCCTGTGAAATTAATCTGAGCAGCGTTTCTGTTTAAAACAGGAGAGTTTAAGAGACGAACCTTAAATCAACAGAAGAACTAAAAGGCAGACTGATCTTCAATTAGAGACATGGACGAGGAGGAGGAGGAATCCTTCAGAGACGTTGAAACGAGCTGTAAACTGGACTCAAAAAGGACTTTTCTGTAACACAGAGTAAAAGCTGTTCATTAAAACATTCATTATGTTTTAATATAATTAGATTTAGTTTAAACCACATTGAACTCGTTCATTCTTTACTTTCTTACTGTAACAAAGCTGCATCACCTTCAGCTACTGACCACAGACATGAATGAAAAATCATTATTTTATTTCAAATAAAGAAAAAATAATTTGTCCATCACTCCATCATAGCATCATATGTAACACACAATAGCATGAAAGAAACAGCTGATTACAATGAGAATTAGTTCCATCATCTTAATTATATATTTCCTGATTACACTTCAACACAAAAATGAACCAAAAATGAAACACTTCAAACTGTAATGCTTTAAGGATTTTCTTTTTGGGTTTACATTAGTTTAAGATACTAAACAAAGAATATAAAGAAAAAAGGAGAGAACCTTCTGTAGGTTGATCATCACTGATATACATAATAAAACGATTATAAAGACTAATAATAACAGAGCTGCAGGTTTGTTCACTAAAGAAAAGCCTGAAGGAAGATAATAAAGTTAATTGATATAAAAGATCAGATGACGGCTCGGAGGCTTCCTGTCCCGACCTTCTTCCTCAGAACCTCGACCAGACGCTCCAACCTGAGGAGGAGGAACAGGAGAAAAGATGTCACTCTAACATTGTCAGAAACGGAAAATATAGAGAACACCTGATGCTTACATACACGTGGTCCTCGTGTGACTACAATCACAGGACAAGCCTGCAGGAGGCCTGGAGTTTGGAGGGAGGAGGGGAAAGACAGGACAGAGGAGTGATGGGAGGGACAGGAATGTATGAGGGAGTAGGGATCAGCCAGAATGCTCCCACAGTGGGGAGGTGCTAAATGTTTGTACAGGATAAAAACCATCAGTCCACATCTATGAACCGCTGGTCTTAGGTGGTCTGTCTAGGCCATGTCTCCATCCACACTGACTGAGGATCTTCTACCTGCAGCACAACAGCTGTGAAGACGAGGGTGTCAACATATCTGCCACTGACCTAGTTACTACCTGCAGTGATTATGCTTCTACCTGTAGTGATGATGCTTCTACCTGCAGTGATGATGCTTCTACCTACAGTGATGACATTTCTACCTGCAGTGATGATGTATCTACCTGTAGTAATGACATTTCTACCTGCAGTGATGATGCTTCTACTTGTAGTGATGACATTTCCACCTTCAGTGATGATGCTTCTACCTGCAGTGATGATGTATCTACCTGTAGTAATAACATTTCTACCTGTAGTGATGATGCTTCTACCTGCAGTGACGATGCTTCTACCTGCAGTGACGGTGCTTCTACCTGCAGTGATGATGCTTCTACCTGCAGTGATGATGCTTCTACCTGTAGTGATGATGCTTCTACCAGCAGTGATGATGCTTCTACCTGCAGTGATGATGCTTCTACCTGCAGTGATGATGCTTCTACCTGTAGTGATGATGCTTCTACCTGTAGTGATGATGCTTCTACCTGCAGTGATGATGCTTCTACCTGCAGTGATGATGCTTCTACCTGTAGTGATGATGCTTCTACCTGTAGTGATGATGCTTCTACCTGCAGTGATGATGCTTCTACCTGCAGTGATGATGCTTCTACCTGCAGTGATGATGCTTCTACCTGCAGTGATGATGCTTCTACCTGTAGTGATGATGCTTCTACCTGCAGTGATGATGCTTCTACCTGCAGTGATGATGCTTCTACCTGCAGTGATGATGCTTCTACCTGTAGTGATGATGCTTCTACCTGCAGTGATGATGCTTCTACCTGCAGTGATGACACTTCTACCTGTAGTGATGATGCTTCTACCTGCAGTGATGATGCTTCTACCTGCAGTGATGACATTTCTACCTTCAGTGATGACGCTTCTACCTTCAGTGATGATGCTTCTACCTGCAGTAATGATGCTTCTACCTGTAGTGATGACATTTCTACCTGTAGTGATGACATTTCTACCTTCAGTGATGATGCTTCTACCTGCAGTAATGATGCTTCTACCTGTAGTGATGACATTTCTACCTTCAGTGATGACATTTCTACCTTCAGTGATGATGCTTCTACCTGCAGTGATGATGCTTCTACCTGTAGTGATGATGCTTCTACCTGCAGTGATGATGCTTCTACCTGCAGTGATGACATTTCTACCTTCAGTGATGATGCTTCTACCTTCAGTGATGATGCTTCTACCTGCAGTAATGATGCTTCTACCTGTAGTGATGACATTTCTACCTGTAGTGATGACATTTCTACCTTCAGTGATGATGCTTCTACCTGCAGTGATGATGCTTCTACTTATAGTGATGATGCTTCTACCTGCAGTGATGATGCTTCTACCTGCAGTGATGATGCTTCTATCTGCAGTGATGATGTTCCTACCTGTGGTGATGACGTGTACCTCAGGTGACCACATTACTAGCTGCACTGTGGCCATGTGCACATATAGTGTTCCTACATGCAGTGCCATGTTCTTATTAGCAGACATTCCTATAAACACTGTTGATTGTAATCTGGGTGGAAATCAGTGAAGTTCTCTGGCTAACACAGAGAATGGCTGACAGCCTGAGAGGAAGAGAAAAAGCAGGAAACTGAGATGAAGGCGAAATGAAGAAGGGAGGAGTTAGAAAAATGACCCTGGATGACTTTCGTACAGTGAGGCTCTCTCTCTCTCTCTCTCTCTCTTTCTCTCTCTCTCTCTCTCTCTCGCTCTCCAAACCAAATTAAACTTCCCTTCTCTAATAACCAGCAGATTTCTATCGCCCCCCTCCCCTCCAGAGAGCAAATATTCCTCTCTCCACTATTCAGAAACTTGGGAGGCTCTTCAGAGCCGGCCGCCCCCCCGCTGGCAGCCAAATTAGAGCAGAAAGCCGCGGGTTTGAGCCCAGGAGGATGGCGCAGGACGCAGACGGACGACTTAAGCTGTTTTCATCATGAATCTCATCCCTTCATCTTCAGGCTGATGAGATGAGAAGCAGCAGAAGAAGAAGTCACGTTATTCAGCATCAGACCGTCATCCTGCACGAGTCGAAATCTGAAGGATTAATTCTTCCTCATCAACTTGCCGGCAGAGACACTCACACCGATGTCGGCTGAATATGAATCATCACAACCAAATCTCTTTAGTCCCACACGCTTAAACAGTCTTTGAACACATCCCAGAGTGTCTGATAGCTGCTGTTAGATACAGCAACATGTTTCCAATGACAGGAAATGCCACTGATTCTCACACTGGTTTCCCACCGTTTGTGGCCAGGATAACAAAAAACAGGGTGTGACCAGTTTCTGTTCAGAACAGCTGAAATGATCCAGTGAGTCCCAGGGAAAAAAAATCACAAAGTCTGAAAATCAGACGTCAGTTTGTGTGGAAGAGAAGTACTTTCCGATGCTCTGGTTTTTGGTTTCTGCTGACTCCTTCTAGTGGATGATCTTAAAAAAAACCTGAGTTGTGTTTCAGATTTGAAATGATTAACCAGTGTTTTACCACCGCAACAGTCTAACAAGTCCACAAGGGTGGGACTAACGAACTATTAACTAATCAGTGTCAAAAAAGTAAACAGGTCTGACTCGTTATCAGTGCTGTCTGATTGAAGAGGGAGGGCCTGGAATCCACAGGTGAGTCACACCTGAGGCTACATCTACACTACTACGTTTTAATTTTAAAACAGTGTTTTCAAACTAAAACGATCTCTGTCCAGACTGTCACACCTGAAAACACATACATACCTTAGCAATCACCTACACTGAGCATGTGCAAGCCAGTGTAAACAGGAAGTAGATCGTCTCCTCTGCAGTAAATCCTCTGAAGGAGGAACAGCAGAGACAGTTGTAGCATTAAAACAGAGAATGTAAGTGAACAACAGCTGCTAGCAAAGACAACAAGGTCAGTAACACTGTCATTCATTATCATGTTGTATTCCATGGGTGTGACCTCATCGTTCCAAAGGTCTCAGCCTGAGACAAACAGGATCCTCACACTGCAACATGCCGAGCTGTGCTCTGATGATCTGAGACTGACGAATATGATAATAGAATATTTTTATAAAAGAGAAGAAACAGCAGACGAGCTGCAGGAGCTTCTGCAGCAGCTGCACCAGCTCGTCCGTCAGTGTGGACTTCAGGGACTGTAAGGACAAATGAGTGTTGGGAACAATGAGCAGGTGCTCAGTGAGCTGCTGCTTCCTGGTGGTTCAGGGTTTCTTCATCCACTGGAAACAGTAAGGAGCCCTTTAGTAAATCCTGATTTGGGCAGACCCACATGATCAACATGGATGTTTCATTATCACAATGTCCAGCTGTTATCAACACATTTGTGTTTCTGTTGTCATGAAGATCTTTTATGATATTAACCAGGTACAGGTGACGTACATCGGCTCACCACCGGCTCTGTGTTGGCAAACAACTTTAATGTTTAACCCATTGGTTCCAACTCATGCTCACATCCAACCTCGTGGCTAACAGAGGCTAAATAATGCTAATACGTTGTCAGAGCAGTTTTTATGAAGGATGGAACATTCAGGACTGAAAACAGATGAGCCTCAGATTTTCTTCATCTGTCCATTCATCATCTGTCTCTTCCTGTTGCTAACCAGCTATCTATTCTGATTCTCCAGTTTTTGCCATGGATGAAATGTGTTAGCAACAATCTCACTGAGACAGTATACAAGTATACGACAAAATAAGTCATCATTGGACATCATTATCATCAAAGTTTCTATCATGGAGTTTTTGGCTTTTATTTTGACAGGGACAGTGAGAGAGAGATAGGAAAGTTAGGGAAGAGAGAGAGAAGATGACGTGCTGCAAAGGGCCCGAGTTGGATTCAAACTTGGGTTGCTGTGGCAATGACTGAGCCACTGGGTACCCCACATCATTTTGTTTTAAAACACTATATATATATATGTAAGTATAATCTATAATAACATACTATTATATATAATATACACAGACACACCAGACACAAACACACACACACACACACACACACACACACACACACACACACACTAGGGCTGGGCGATATGGAAAAACTTTTTTTTTTATAAAATATATTAAATGTTCCTTTTGAGAGATGTAAAGATATCATGAGGTTAATCTGGTTTAAATATTATTTATTTTCGGTCAGAAGTTGAACATGACAAATATACTGTAGAACATTATACAACTGTATTTCAAATAAATAAAATAGGTATATATTATAAACTAAAATCATAATTCTGACCAGTCAAAAGCTTCGTCTAGGACTGTAAAGTCTTGCATTGTGCGTGCTCTAGAGGATGGCACTGCTTCAGATAGTAAAAAAGATTAGTGGTATTAACTGTCTTTGTGGGAACATGCTTTCAACACAATTTGAAGTCCACGCTGCTCTGCTTCTTATCGGACTTTAATTAGCCAAAGTATCTCCACACTACCGAATTCCTCTGACCCTTCTTTTCAACGACGTCCTCGTCCTTTGAGCTTTGGGCTGTGTCCGTTGGGGTGTTCTCTTCGGTAATGCTGTCGCTCGAGTTTTCATTGACATTTTCTGTCGTCATCTTCTCTTTTATCTCTCTCCCACCCCCGACGTACTGGTGGGCACGGCTGCAGTAGCCCAAACATTGGGACGTGTGCCGGAGACTGCTGCTACTCCAACGCTCTGTGCTGTGTGCATCAACCTAACCTGGCGTGGCTGTAAATCTATTCCAGCCACATGATTTGCTTGGTGCAGCGCTATTCTCATTATCATTGGCTGTTTGTGTTTTCTGTCAAAACATGGATGAATGAGTTCTATCGGCTTTCTATCGACCATGTCTTATATTTCTATCGTGGAAAAGTTATTTTCCGATAATTATCTTTATCGTTTTATCACCCAGCCCTAACACACACACACACACACACATATATACAGTGTGTATGTATTTATATATATATATATATATATATATATATATATATTCATATATATATACACATACATTATAATTACATCTTTTCACCAAAATACTACTACTGTTTTGCAAATGATTTGTCGGCCCACCTTGAATATCTCTGCAGCCCACCAGTGGGCCCCAGCAAAATTATTACAATAGTTAATGAACGTTCTGACATTAGATTGATCACAGCAGCTCTAACTGTTTAGTTCAGATCCACTGAAGAACCAAACCCAGACCCTGACCCGACACCCAGACACTGTTGGACACACGACTGGTGTGTTGTATGTAAAGGTAGAACCTGACCTGCGGACTCTCTCGCCGGCCTCTCGCTCCGCCTCCTGACAGCGCTGAAGCTCCGCCTCCACGCTTTGCTTTTCCTTTGATAGCTGCTGCAGCTGGACCAGCAAGGGTGGGGTCTGAGGGGGCAGGGCCTCAGGAGATAGAGCTTCTGACGAACTCATTGAAGAGACACCATCAGCTGGCAGCGAGGGAGGGGGGGTGAGGAGGTGTTGAAAGCTGAGGGAGGAGTAAGACCAGAGGATCAGTCAGTGATAGCGTCATCTCTGTGACATCACTGCGTCATAACTGTTCAAAAAAAGTTTTGAGCTGAATGTTGAACTCATGAATGAAGATGAGTCTGTGACGGACAGATGTCTCACTCTGACAAGAAAAACAGTGATCTGCTTCATCGCACACTGAGAGCTGATGGATAATCAATCAGCTGTGGTACTGATATGTCTGGCGGGGGCGGGGTGGGGGGGTGGGAGGTGGGTTAATTAAAGGTAAACAGAACAGACAGACAGCAGAGGACAGAACAAAGGACGTAGTTCACCTAGTTCAGGTCAGACTTGAGTCTGAACGCTGAAGCTTTCTTCTTCATTATTTGGTGTCCGTGGAAACCATCAGACATGTGGAGTTACCAGTTCACCTGTCTCCTACATTTCCCATGAGCACTGGGTCCTGACGAGTCAGACATACTGGCTCCTGTGACCTGGACTAACCTGGATCCTGAGCAGCTTTAAACCAGATCTATCGTCTCCATGGTGACACATCTGTCATCCAGTGAGCTCCTAAACCAACAGGCAGCAGGTCAGAGGTCAGAGGGGGGTCAGTCTGCTCCTGACCTCATCAATGAAGTTTCAGTCAGAAACAGATGTTTAATATGAAAGAACCATCTGATCCACGGCTGTCAACCTGAGGGGGGTCAGCTGAGATCCAGATCCAGATACAGACTGAGGCAAAGACCAGAAGAGATCCAGCAGTAAACGTGTAGAGATTCACCTAAAACCAACTGAGACCCGGAAGACATCTGGATCCACCAGAGACCAGTCCTGTGGAGTCTGTGGACAGGAAGTGATGTGTTTTACATCAACAGAAGAAGAGGAGGTTCTAAATTTGTACCTGGTGCGCTGATCTGTAATGTGTTCACCCTTAACTACTCATCAATCTGAGTATTGATAATTGACTGTTTCAGTAGAAATGATGAACTGATCAGTTCAAACAGACCTCACCCACACTGTTAACCTCAGTTTGGTTTCCAGTTTTTTAACGAGGTTACAGTGTAATTTTGGTTTTAATTTCTTTAAACTGTAAAGGTGCAAATTTTGTACTTTCCTCTTTTACTCCTCTGTCTTCTGAATAAAGCTTAGCTCAGCATCCAACCTGCTCTGTATTTGTCTTTTATACTCAAGTCTACATGCATATACTAGAATCACCTCCTCATGGTTGTATCCCTAGTTCCAAGTTACATCCCTGTTTATCCAGAGTCATATAAAATATGAACTATTTGTGTGAAACTGTCATAATTGCTGTGTGTGTTTTCTGAGGTCACACTGACCTTGACCTTTGACCTTTGATCACCAAAGTCTAATCAGTTCATCCTTGAGTCCAAGTGAAGATTTGTGCAAAATTTGAAGGGATTCCCTTGAGGAGTTCTGGAGACATTGCATTCACAAGTCCAAAATCATGTTTTGGGAGGTCACCAAGCCCTTGAGCTTTGAACTTTGACTTTTAGCCACCAAAGTCGAATCAGTTCTTCCTTGAGTCAAGGTGAACATTTTCACCAAATTTGAAGAAATTCACTTAAGGTGTTACAGAGATAGTGCTCTCACAAGACTGCTTTTTGTGAGGTCACCGTGACCTTGACCTTTGACCTAAAACCCACAAAATCTAATCAGTTCATCCTTGAGTCCCAGTGAATATTTGTGCCAATTTGAAGAAATTCCATCACAGCGTAAGGCTGTGGAGAGAAGAAGGAGGTCTTATTTTTTAGTCATGTTTGTGGAAAATAACACGCCACAGTAAAAATGTAATGTTACATAACTTACTTTCTTGGGTTTTATTTCTTATATATCTGGTTACTGCGTCACCTGTCTAACAATAAGATTATAACATACAGTCATAGGTTATGTCCACACTGCTACGTTTTTGTTTTAAAACAGCTTTTGTAAATGCTAACACACCTGAAAACACACATCACATGACCATTCAGTACACTGAGCATGTGCCAGCTGGTGTAAACAGGAAGTAGATTGTCTCCTCTGAAGGAGGAACAGCAGACACAGTTGTAGCATTAAAACAGAGAATGTAAGTGAACAACAGCTGCTAGCAAAGACAACAAGGTCAGTAACACTGTCCTTCATTATCATGTTGTATTCACTACTGGTAGTCCAGGCTGATGAGAGCCAATCAGGAGAGACTGTGGGTGTGACCTCATCGTTTACATGGTCTCAGTTTCTGTCCATCCAGATACAACACAACCCTAGAGTTTTCAAAATAAAACAGGTTCAGCAGCAGCGTTTCTAAAAGTCTTGGTTTTGCTTTAAAGTTTTTGATTGACATCTCCGGAGTCGTGTAGATGGAGGAGGAAACGTAGACTCTCTAAAACCTCAGAGTGGGGCCAATGAACTAAACAGGTGTGTTCCTTCACACCTGTGCTGCTACAGTAGCTACCTGTTGTATTTAACTGATATATTACGATATTTTAGAAACTGAATTCTAACACAACTGTTAATTGATCATTAAAAGTTATAATAATAACTAACATTTCATCTACAGATTCACTCTACCTGTCTACAGTGTGTTAATGCAGATGTTTAACTGGAACAATTTTTAAAGCACATTTTTCAGATCTGATTAAATCGAGTTTTCAGGCTTTAGGGGAAAAGTTTTCATATTCCAAATAAAAACAGTAAACTTCAATCCGTCTACTCCATATTTAGTTTGAATTATTTGATGCATCTGTGTGAAGACTGACCACAGTTTGTGTGTTGATGGGCTGGTTCAAACAGCAGGGTTAACAGGCTGGTTCGTGATTGGACAACTGAAGGCGTGAGCGGTAGACCTCAACTAATCATCATCATCATCATCTTGTGTCATCGCTGACAGTCACATGACTGTTCTGGAAACATCAGAGGACAGAGCTGTCCACAAACTCAGGCTTCCTGCTTTTCAATAGTCTGACCTGTGATCGGCTCGTTGCGCCTGTAGCTCCGCCTCCAGCCGCCACCTGTCATCCAGAGCACCATCCTTCTCTCTCTGAAGCCTCAGCAGCTCCTCCTGAAAAAACCCAGATCAGTCCACATCAGCAGTGTTACAGACAACAGATCACCTGTGATGATGAGGATGATGGTGATAATGATAAAAGGACAAACAGGAATCTCTCTCTCAAATTAAATCGAAGGCAACTGGACTTGTATTTGTCTGTGGAAGACGTTTCGCCTCTTATCCAAGCGGCTTCATCAGTTCATCATGTATTGGTCTCTCTAGTCCGCACTAGTCTGACTAGTGCGGACCTGACTATGACCTGGACGAATGAGAACATTTACAGACAGAGAAACAGGAAGAGCATGCTGACATTTTCAACACAACAGAAAGCTGTTCAGTTTAACCGATGAAAACAGAGCACACTCTCTGTGTCACAGTGTGTAAAGCTGTGCTCTGATTGGCTGTAAACCCTGTCAATCATGAACTATAATTGAATTCACTGTGAAGATTTAAAACCATTAAAGTCACACACTCTTGTGTTTTTGGAGCTGAGTTAATTGTCCGTTTGTTAATTGTGTGTGTGAACTGTGTCTCTGTTGAAGAAGAGATCAACATGTTGATCTCAGGGAGACTGTCTGTTTAAATAAAGGACTAATTAACTAACAGGAGTGTCAACACTCTTCATAACGAGGATTGGATTTTATCAGCGTGTATTTCGCTCCTGGTTTATTAAAGCGGCAGCTCATTACACAGTCAGCTCCTGGACTGAACCTGAGACTCAAACTCCAGGTGCATTCTGGGAAGAAAAGAGAGCTCAGCACCTGCAGTACTATTTATTTTATTATTAATTAATTAATTAATGATAATGTAGTGATATTTATTGGAGTGATGTAATATGAAGTGTAAAACACAGCAGCAGGTGGAGGTGGTGGTGTTCACCTGTATTCATCTGATCACTGGTCAACAATCATCCTGTCTGTGATCAGCTGATTGGAAATGATGAGATTCACTGTTATATATCAATCAATAATAATCAACTGTTACAGAATAATCACACATGTACTAAATGTTTCCTCCTCATGACAACTGTTCTGTTCACACTTGTTCTCTCTGTGACTTAAATTCACTGTGATAACGCATCAAGCCCCGCCCCCGCCCAACAGAACGCCACAGGAACCTTAAAACATCTGAGTGAAGGTGAAAGAAAGGTGGAGTCCTTCAGTAGCTCCTATATCCACATGTCTCCTATCACCTCACCACCTACCACCTCCCACCTCCTCTTCACCTCCCTCTCACCCAGCTGCTGGTGCTGCTGCAGGGTTTGAACCTGTGGACCGACAGTTACGGACGGTGTATCTCACTGTGTCTTTGGTCAAACTGTGTGGAGGTCAACTCCAGCAGGGATTACAGACCTGATCCTGACCTCCTCCTCCTCCTCTATGCTAATGAGAGCCATCAAGGTCTCTGAGTTTAAAGTGAGACATCAAAAGAGAGACCAAACCCAGAGAGTCAATATGTGTCTTCTCCAGCCGGGCCGGAGGAGACGCTTCAAAAGAGCCGCCCCACTTATTAATCAGAATCATTTCCAAATGAGCTGATCAGTACGCAGGAGCGTCGCCGAGGTGACCTTTAACATGAGGAGTTAAGGTCAATGAAAGAGGGGGCGGTGGGTGGGTGGGTGGTGGTGGTGGTGGTGGGGGGTAATAAAACTAACCTGCCCGGACCTTTAACATGAAGAGTTAAGGTCAACAGCAGAGGAGGGTGGGTAGAAGAGGAGGGCATTCAGGATGTGGAGGGGGAGCTTTAATTAGCATAGAGGAGGAACAGGATTATGGGGGAGGGCAGGAGGCCTTTAGGATGTGGAGGTGAGGATGGCAGAGGGGGAGTAGAGAAGGAGTGAATGACCTTTAACATGAGGAGTTAAAGGTGCAGTTCATAACAAATCAGCCCCCAAATTCAGCCCCCCAGGAAGTACTTACAGTACTATGACTAGTGCTGCAGCTACTACAGCTTTTACTAAGACTACCACCGACACTACTACAACTAATACTGTTGTTAACTACTACACTTCAACTATTAAATCTATCAAAAATTAAAATACTTCCAACAATCTCCTTTTAGTGCTTATTGTCCAGCTGCCACTTCATCCCCTTTAAAAAATAAATTTTAGTTGATATTTCAACACTTCAAGTCCTCTTACAGCCAACACTTTAGGTTCTCTTACTAATGACACTTCAAGTCCTCTTACTGCTAACACTTCAAGTCCTCTTACAGCCGACACTTCAAGTCCTCTTACAGCCAACACTTTAAGTCCTCTTACTAACAAAACTTTAAGTCCTCTTATTAACAACACTTCAAGTCCTCTTACAGCCGACACTTTAAGTTCTCTTACTAATGACTCTTCAAGTCCTCTTACTGCTGACACTTCAAGTCCTCTTACTGCCGACACTTTAAGTCCTCTTACTAATGACACTTCAAGTCCTCTTACTGCTAACACTTCATCCACTAATGTTTCAAACTTTTAGCACTTAAAGGTGCAGTGTAACTTTGGGTCTTCAGTTTACACTTGAACTGGCACCAGTTTGTTTCCTTCAATGAAAACTGACATTTCGACTCCTTTCAGCTTCACTTAGTATTCATAGTCAAGCTCGCACTTCATTCAGTGTCCACCTTAAATTTAACCTCTTCCAGCACTTGTGGAAGGAAACACTTTAGTTTCTTTCAGTGCTTCAACTAATTTTGTTCTCAGAGCTTCATCTTTTCTAGTTTTACCAGGCTGGTGGTTTGGTTCTACAGGTCCAGTTTAAGAGTAAAGGTCTGGTTTAAAGATCCAGTTTAATGGTCTGTTGGTTTGGTTCAAGAGTGTTTACGTTGTTGAGATGTTTAGTGTGATGTGATCAGCCTCCTCCTTGTCTTCCTCCTCCTCCTCCTCCTCTTGCACTTGTTGTATCATTGCCTCCATTCTCCAACAATATGTAGATTAAACTTCATCGGGGATTTGACCATTTATGGTTAAATGTGGGAGTGTTGTGGGCGGAGCATGAGGCTCGCCAAAGTGGCACATTTTCAAGTTGATTGTGATTAATAAAGAGAAATTGTGTGGAGGTGTGCATGTGCACAGTTTCAGTCTGGATCCTCCACCGTTTCATAAGTGAGTCCTCGGTCTAAAGTGAAGCTTTAAAGGTCCGGTTTAATGGTCTGGTCTAAAGGTCTGGTCTAAAGTTTTGGTTTCTGGTCTCAGCTCGGGGGTTTTCAGCAGCTCTGTGACTGTCTGTCGCTTGGTTTAACGGCAGCTGTTGGTGTTTCTGTGTGAAATTAAAAAGCTATCCAGGCTGTAATCCCCCCGGAGCCTCCAGCCTAATTAACAGACTTCACAGAAAAAAGAGCGAGAGCTACATTAATAACAAAATTTAATGTATTTCACAGAAGAAAACAGACGCAGTCAAAGCTGCAGCAGGAAGTCAAAGCTGCATCAGGAAGACAGAGACAGCAGTAAGGACAGAGAAAACCACTACTGATTTCACTGATTCTTCTGATTTGACTAATTCTACTGATTCCACTGATTCTATTGATTCCACTGAAGATATCAACACAACAGGAAGCTACAGTTCAGCACAAGTCAATAACAGAATTATTGAAAGATGGAATAAATAAATAACTGATTAAATTCATGTATGAAAGTTGTTGGAAGAATGAATGAATGAATCAATAGATGAATCGATATTGGACCAAGGTTGAAAACCAGGAAGTGACATCCAGGTTGTTATTAAACAGAGATCAGATCAGCTGTTTGCTGTGTGTCCCGTTTAAAGGTAGAACCATTGTAACAAATATCAGATGGTGAAATTTCACTGAATAAACAAATAAAACAACTCCATGAAGTCAGTGGGGACGTTTATTAGTTCTTTAGTTTACATTTCATGCCATGTTCTACTTCCTGTAGTCACAGTGTCACAGTAAAAGTACTTCCTGTGATGTAAACTGTGACTGATCAGATCATTGATTTTGAGTCATGTGACTGTTGCAGCTGCTTTAACTAGGTCAGATATTCTTAGATAGTTCAGTCCACTGGTTTCAAACATAGAGGTCGGGCACCTCCAAAGGGCCATCAGATAAATCTGAGGGGTTGTCCCATGGAATGAACAAAAAACAAAGCTCTGATACACAAAGAGTAATACATGGCGGTCTTTATTTAGTTGTGAGGACACTGACACAAAGGATTGCCAGCCCTGAATCTAAACCCGATCCTAACCTGTTCCCTAAAGTCTGAACCCTAAACAACAAGCTATCTGATGGTGTGGGGTCCATGAAACTGTCGAGCCCCACAAGTACAGTGAAACAAAACTATGCAAACACACACACACCTTGTTTGAATAATAAGTTGTTTGCAAACAAAAGCTGCAGTGTCTCCACGGCAGGTTGTCATGACGATAGAGAAGACATCCCATCATCACCATTCAACACAGGGATACCAGTTAATATGCAAGTGAGAGAGTGTGTGTGTGTTTACCTTGGTTGCCCTCTGCTCTCTCTCCTGAATCAGATCCTGTTCCAGACGTTTACACTGCAGAGAAACATTCAGGGTTATTGATCTGATCAGTTTGATCAGCAGAACCTCATATCTCCCACACTACACACATGATGAGCTGCAGAGTGAAGACAGGAAGTCACACCTGCTGACAGGACTGATGATGTCATCACCACAGAGGAAACACCTGAAAGTGTACAAGGGAATCTACATGAAGATATTAAATATATCTGATTTATTAAATATATTAATACTTATCGAGCGGAAATGACTCGTCCATTAATTGATTAGTCACATTTGAAGACGCAATGCTTTTTTACATTTAGAACAGACACTGACACATCTGACGAGTCAGGACCTGGACCAGTAAAGAGCTGGACCAGTAACAAACTTGACCAGTCAGGACCTGGACTAGTCAGGACCTGAACCAGTAACAAACTCGACCAGTCAGGACCTGGACCTGGACCAGTGAGGAGCTTGACCAATCAGGACCTGGACCAGACACGAATCTAAACTGAAGACCTCAGCTCAAGGCCACTGGATCTGGTGGAAGAAAATAGTGAACCCACAGAGGTGTACTTGTTACAACTGTACTTGTCCAGTGTTATCTGATATTAATCCAGATTACTATCTGGATTCCTGGAGCCGTTCCTTTAACTGGATCAGTATGGAAATGTAATAGGGTCTTCCCTGGAGCGGGACCCACCCCTCCACCAAGTTTGGTACAAATCATTTCAGTACTTTTTGCATTATCATGTTGACAAACAAAGAAATACACAAATGACTCACAAACTACAGGGTCTGTGAACTGAAGCCTTACCATCATCCAGCTGTTTATGTCCCCTCAGGAAATGAACTCAAACAGCTGGATGGTCGTTCACCAACATAAGACTGATTCTGTGATTCAACAGCTGTTTGACAGTCAGACCATTCAAAGACTGACGTGGGATATATAAAGAGGTCTACAGTTTTGAGTGCATGAATTTATATGGTGTTTGTCCATGTCTCGACCCAGGTAAGAGATGAATGAATAATTGATTTCTTGATTGTTTTTCATCCTGATGTCCGTCTGTTGATGGTAAAAGTTATAACTAGTGTTAACTGGACCTGCAGACACCCTGTTGAAAGAGCTGCCTGCCCCTGGGAATCAAACTGACAACCTCTCTGTGAGTGCTGCCTTCAGAGCGTGTGGAGTCGAGTTGGTCCAGCTGAGCTTTAATAACCTGTAATAACCTGTAATTATCTGATATTAACTCAATAAAAAGCAGAAACCTGCAGCTGTCATAAGAGACAGCTGGATAGAGAGAGCGGGAGAGTGAGGTAGACAATGACTGGGAGACCCCTCTCCCTCTTTTCTAATATTTCCCAGAAGTCCTGGATGCGGTGGGAGATAATCCCTGAGAGATGAGGAGAGGGAGCGAGGGATCGGTGAACGATGGGGGTGGGGGGGATTCTCCAGCGTGGAGTGCTGTCTCTCTTCTTCTTCTCCTCTGAGGATTACGGCGGCATTTGAAACATATTTCAGCGCAGCGCAGCAGCAGAGCGAGGGCGGGATTAAGGTGTTACCGTGGAGGGGTGGTGTTAACGCTGAGGGGCGGGGTGTTAAAAGATGGAGGAGCAATGATAGAGTTGGGGGTTAGTGAAAGAGGGGTGGGCGATACTGAACTGATACGAATTCAGCCATGAGTTTGGTGGGGTTAACACCACAACACATTTGTATTTGTGTGTGTGTGTGTGTGTGCGTGTGCGTGTGGTGGTGGTGGTGGTGGGGGGGTGGGGGGCATGTGTGTGTGTGTTTCTTTCATCACCTGTGCAGGTACCACTTGTTCTTGCAGAGTTATAGCTGCACTTGTAAAGTACCATTACATCCCTCCTTCTCTGCTCCCCTGACAACTGTTGCCATGGTTACCGTGCTACTGCAGGTCCGTTGCCGTGGTGACAGCAGTCTGTCAGTCACAGTGAGGGAATAGATGAAGGTTTCTGATCTGATCTTTTTTTCAGGCGCATCAGGAGGAGGCGGAGCATCTGAGCCTACCACCCGCCGCAAAGCATACTGGGAGCTCCACCCCCTCTCTCTCTCTGTCATCCCTCCATCAGTCAGACCTGTCATCTTTTTTCATTTCTGCTAGTTCTGCTCTCTTAGACCATCCCTGTCTGCCGCCCCCCCCCGGTATCCTCCCACAGAGAGCAGTATATGAATCCAGATGAATTGTGGGTAATAAATCCAGCACTCTGCAGGTTTTTGTAATAAACTCTGTGAACTGAACTTCGATAATAATCAGCCTCCAGAGGAGAAATGGGCAGAAATGGAAAGTCTGGATTTTCTTCTTCAGACTTAAACTTTTTAATCAGATTCTGGATCTTCCTCATTTATTGATGATTTATTGACACTTTATCCTGATTTTTATCAAAAACTCTGATCTGATGAAAACCTGAGAAAAGAATCTGGCTGACGAAGCACCAGAGAATAGACACATTGAATGAACAATCAGCGTCTTTAATGTGCTCACAAAATTTAATAACTACTATGCAGATGAAAAACATGGAACATGACCGAAAGCTCCAGAACAGCTACTGCATGGACCTGGTTTTGCATGCACAGTTTGCAAAAGACTTTGAAATGTATTTTAATCTTCTTCTGTTTGTTTGTTTCTAGTATTTGTTGTTGTTTTTGAATTATTTGTTGTTGATACTAGTTTCCACTGAACTTTTATTTACTGTTCATTTATGTCATATTTGCTGTTAGTGGAAACACAGCTATAATATCTCATTAAACTCTGGACCACATTAAGGCCGTTAATCTAAATGTTTACATATAAACGAACATCAGGTGATTAGATTTGCTTGAACCTCTCAGATGAAGGAGTGGATCTGTCTGAGACCACAGGTTTAATGTGGCTGGGTTCTGAGTCCAGACCAGCCTCCCTGGACCAGGAACCTGGTGTGAGTCTGCATCTGAACTCATGTTCCGGCCTCATCTATCTAACCCTTCAGATGATATCATCCAAGTGATGTCATCCAGGTGGAACAACGAGGCTGTTCTCTGATCAGGAAACACACCTGCCTCCACAGATATTACATTCAAATAACACAAATATACAGCCAGTATGAGTGGTGTGGACACGCACGCACGCACGCACGCACGCACGCACACACAAAGGTGTATAAACAGCAGGTGTTGAGCAAACATCAGCCTCCATGTCAGCGTTGTCAGGTCGACTCAATATTTGTCTCCACACCACTTTGTTTTCACATCATTCAAAATATTCATGTTCAAATTCAAACTGCAAATATTTGAGGTTTTGGCTGCGGAGGCCACCGTCATCCGGCGGCCACAGTGAGCGCCGCGCTGCGCCGCACAAACTGGGTTAAACAGGCGACTTAGAGACGTGTTTCCTGCAGACAGACTGAAGCAACAGGACTCAATAAAAACCACATAATCAGACTGAGACCTGCAGGAACACAGGAGACCAGGAAGACAAGTCTTTCAAGAGTACAAGAACCAGATCCTCAGATCAGATACTTCACATATCTCTGACATTATCGACAAGGATGTGTTGTAGTGAGGGAGTGGCCACTGGTTCATTATAATGCCACCATTCCATCACATACACTGATGTTATTGTCTGATAATAAGATAATTTTTATAAAGCAGACTGAAGTCTGTTCCTGACTGATCTGAACCTGGATTCTGGTTCTGCTCAAGGACAGGACGACCCAGCTCCTCCTCCTTCCTCCAATCATCTCATTTAACATATTCATTCAACTTTTCTGTTTTAAACATGAACAATGACCTCTGCAGGAGCCAAAAGTTTTAATAATATAATACTATATAATAATAATAATAATAATAATAATAATAATAATAATAATAATAATAATAATAATAATAATTCTCTATCATTTGTAGGTTATAGTTCCAGGTCTGTACAGGACAGTATCTGGGTCTGGACCTGAGGAAAAGAATCCGACTGAACTTACATTAAGATTTTTCTTTAACTAACTTTATTTATAACACATGGAGGATGAATCCTCCTTTAACCACAGAAACAAACAGGATGAAAAGTTGAAATAAGAAAAATACAAATGGAGAAAGTTGAGCCATTATAATAATGATTAAATAGAAATAATGAGCTGAGAATTAATGATATTCAGACAGAAGTTTATAGTTTCCTGACATTTCTATATAACTGTTAACAAGAGCAAATTCATTTTTAGGTCTTTACACAACGGAAGAGGATTTAGTGAAACAACATTTATGTATAGACTATAGTATTTAGTTATGATGATGATATTGTTCACTATAAATTCATCTGCTTGTTCTTCATGATGACTCCTGACTGGATTTAAAAAGAATAAATCTATATTTATGGATCTGGGCTTCAGTTGATCAGACAAGGATTTCCATCAAACATAAAACAACTGCTCTGTTGTTTCTACATTTATATGGCTCTGCTGTGGTCACACTACAATGGTGTCGCTTTAAATATTGCTGAAGCAAGGAATTATGTGACAGCATTTCCCCTTTCCTTTGGTAAAGGAAGCTCCAGTGTTTCCTAAAGGAGATAAGATAGGAAGCACTGAAGCTCCTTTCCTCAGCTCTTATCATGGCTCTCGCTCAGATACTTCCGGGTCATTTCACTCAGTTTGAACCTTCCTAAGCAAAAAATACTTTTTGACAGCAGTCGGAGCCTCAAAGACCATTTTCACACGGCAGCCATTTTCCTCTGACGTCACACTGAGGGTGGGACGCCTCTTTAAGCCACTTTAATGTCTCTGAGTAAATCCTGAGTGATATCCTCTACACATATGGTGTCTACAACCTGATCTGACTTACTCGATATCAAAGGGCAAACTGTTGGTGTTGAATGACATCTCAGTGTTTGTTGGTCTGACAGAGACAAAGAGGACATTCACTCTTCACTGCCGTCTCCTCATCCTCTTTCCCACAGACAAACTGGATACAAACTTTACTGGATACAGCACAGAGGGAGCTCAGTCTGACAGGCTAGTGGACTCTGACAGACAGGTAAGTGGACTCAGACAGACAGGCAAGTGGACTCACCCTAGCGACAGAACCGTCTCTCTCCTCCATTACAGCCTTCATCTCCTGAGCAGTGATGTCATTCCGTCGTTGCCGTGCCAACTGCAGACGCTGGACCAGAATTAAACCGAACTGTTCGACTTCCTGGACGGAATCAGCATCACAGACACACTGAAGGAGCTCATCCACATCCTGACCATAACAAACAGGAAACTGATCAGATTATCAATAACACATTAAAACTACTGAATACAACCAAACACTTAGTGTTTTTACCATGTCAGAGTCCAACAGGTTAGACCTCTCCAACCTGAAAACAGACAGACAGTTTCAGTGTTGTTGGTAAGATACAGTCTGTTTATCCTACTGATTCTTTGCTAACTATCAGCAGAAAGACATCTCACCTGAAAACTACCATCTCATCTGAAAACTACCAACATCCCACCTGAAAACTACCATCATCTCATCCCAAAACTACCATCAACATCTCACCTGAAAACTACCAACATGTCATCTGAAAACTACCGACATCCCACCTGAACACTACCAACAACATCTCATCCTAAAACTACCAACAGCATCTCATCTGAAAACTACCAACATCTCACCTGAAAAATACCAACATCTCACCTGAAAACTACCAACATCTCACCTGAAAACTACCAACATCTCACCTGAAAACTACCAATATCTCATCTGAAAACTACCAACATCTCATCTGAAAACTACCAACATCTCACCTGAAAACTACCAACATCTCATCTGAAAAATACCAATATCTCACCTGAAAACTACCAACATCTCATCTGAAAAATACCAATATCTCACCTGAAAACTGCGTCTCACCTGAAAACATCTCACCTGAAGGCCGTGTCTCTATTTCAGTTCAATGTTAAAAGTATATTCAGGATCCTGCTCTGTGTTTGATCATTGCTTTCTCCTTTACAGTCTGTAGCTCTCTCTTGCAGTTTTCTTTTCACTCTGTATAACAATTATTTTGCTTTAAATCTAAATATTTGGTTGTTAAGTTTACAAACTGCATTTTCTTTCAAAAAATTGCATTTATAAGTTGGGGAACACAGGGTGATGAGGGCGAATCAGGGCCTCATTTTAATCCAGCCCTGCGCAGACGCCCCCCACCCCCCGCCCCCCCGTGTTCCTGCTGCTGACCAAATTAAACCTGGACCTCTGCAGCAGCCTGGTAGATGACCTGAGCGTCGCGGCTGCAGCAGCTGTGCAGTAATTTTGTCCTGCTCTCCCTGAAGTCCACCTGAAACTCTCCATCATTTTAAAACTGCTGTGAAGCTGAGCGGACTCTGTTCAGAGTTTATTTCTCCCTCTGACAGCAGTCATAATGGTGGACGTAGAGCTGGTAACTAGCTGATCTCCTGCCTCTCCTCCTGGGAAGCTCTTTTCATTTAGCCTGCTGCTGTTTTGCTGTAATAAACTGTAATAAGGTGGCCGAGGCGGCTCCGCTCTGCAGGGAACAGCAGGTAATGAAAGACCGGCCGCCTCCAATAAAGCTCCTCTAACACCCTGCTTACAGCCCATCCAGCCCGGCTCAGCTCAGCTCGGCTCGGCTCGCTCCACAGCCATCATTAACCCTCCCACTCACACCTTGACTCAACAGAAACTCCGCCGCCGCCATTAGTGGATCAAATGATCCAAGTAAGAATAAAATCTTCATTCTTCATTTTGGAAAAGTTTCACATCAGACAGAACATTTCAGATAAATGTACAGAGACATCCACAGACTTCAGCTCAGCTGTTTTCAATCATTCCTGACATGGGCAGAGTTTCAAACCTTAGGTTCTGGATCTCTGGAGTGGGTCATGACATTAGCCTGAGGGTTCACAGGTGATTATCAGGTGGAGATGTTCTTCTTTATGCTCCTAAATCAGTGTGTCTCAAACCATTATAATCAAACTCATGGACAACCTCACTCCACAAACATTTAGCTCAATCCCAGAGAAGCTAGCAGTTAGCTTCATCACATTTTTCATAATTTCTGTCATTTAAATCATAAAACATAAACTGTCTTAGTCACACACCAGTCTGTTACAACCACATCCAAAAACACTGTCAAACAGCTGATTAAAATAAAAATGACTGATTTTAACACTGAAAACAACACGTATGCAACTCTCGACCCGGCTCAGTGGTCACTCACAGTCTGACAAACACTGAGTTTAAAACCACCGGTGGTCTGAAGCCTGCCTGTGGTCCATGGACCACTCTTTTTTTATGATTCAACTTTTATTGAGTTTTGAATTTTTTACAGCATCAAACTGAAGACCAACAGAGAATAAAGCAAAAATAAGATACACAATCTCTTTGTGACAATAACAGATAAAAGTAAAAACAATAAAATAAAATAAATACACAAATGGTCCATGACAGGTAAAATTAGTCCATGCTTGATATGTTAATCAGTCTGTCCAGGGGACAACCACAACACTGCTGCATGTCTATTCATTGTCCCATGTAAAATTCACTATCCACAAGTAATCTTCCAGTAAACAGATCCATGGACCACTCTTTGAGAAACACTTATCTAAAACAATACTAAAACCACAAACTGTGAACCAAATCGTCTGTGTCAACATTTAACAGGGTCTTCAAACTCTCCTGGTTCTTAAGACTGAACTGATTCTCAAGACCAAACTGGTTCTTCAGACTGAACTGGTTCTTTAAACTCTCCAAGTTCACCAGACTGAACTGGTTCTTCAGACTGAGCTGGTTTTTAAGGATGAACTGGTTCTACACACTGAACTTGTTCTTCGACTGAACTGGTTCCTCAAACTCTCCCGGTTCTTCAGACTCTCCCGGTTCTTCAGGCTAATCTGGTTCTTCAAACTCTCCTGGTTCTTCAGACTCTCCCGGTTTTTCAGGCTGATCTGGTTCTTCAAACTCTCCTGGTTCTTTGACTGGACTGGTTTTTAAGACTGAACTGGTTCTACAGACTGAGCTGGTTCTACAGACTCTCATGGTTCATCGAACTCACCTGATTCTTCAGACTCCCCTGGTTCTTCAGGCTGAACTGGTTCTTCAAACTCTTTGTTCTTCAGACTGAACTGATTCTTCAACTGAACTGGTTCTTCAGACTCTCCCGGTTCTTCAAACTCTCCTGGTTCTTTGACTGGACTGGTTCTTAAGACTGAACTGGTTCTTCACACTGAACTGGTTCTTCACACTGAACTGGTTCTTTAAACTCTCCAAGTTCGCCAGACTGAACTGGTTCTTCAGACTGAACTGGTTTGTAAGAAGGAACTGGTTCTTCAGACTGAACTGGTTCTACACACTGAACTTGTTCTTCGACTGAACTGGTTCTTCAGACTGAACTGGTTCTTCAGACTCTCCCGGTTCTTCAGGCTGATCTGGTTCTTCAGACTCTCCTGGTTCTTTGACTGGACTGGTTTTTAAGACTGAACTGGTTCTACAGACTGAGCTGGTTCTACAGACTCTCATGGTTCATCGAACTCACCTGATTCTTCAGACTCCCCTGGTTCTTCAGGCTGAACTGGTTCTTCAAACTATCTTTGTTCTTCAGACTGAACTGATTCTTCAACTGAACTGGTTCTTCAGACTCTCCCGGTTCTTCAAACTCTCCTGGTTCTTCAAACTCTCCTGGTTCTTTGACTGGACTGGTTCTTAAGACTGAACTGGTTCTTCACACTGAACTGGTTCTTTAAACTCTCCAAGTTCGCCAGACTGAACTGGTTCTTCAGGCTGAACTGGTTTTTAAGAAGGAACTGGTTCTTCAGACTGAACTGGTTCTACACACTGAACTTGTTCTTCGACTGAACTGGTTCTTCAGACTGAACTGGTTCTTCAGACTCTCCTGGTTCTTCAGGCTGATCTGGTTCTTCAGACTCTCCTGGTTCGTCAGACTGAACTGGTTCTACAGACTGAACTGGTTCTACAGACTCTCCTGGTTCATCGAACTCACCTGATTCTTCAGACTCCCCTGGTTCTTCAGACTGAACTGGTTCTTCAAACTCTCTTGGTTCTTCAGACTGAACTGATTCCTCATCTGAACTGGTTCTTCAGACTCTCCCAGTTCTTCAGGCTGATCTGGTTCTTCAAACTCTTCTGGTTCTTTGACTGGACTGGTTCTTAAGACTGAACTGGTTCTTCAGACTCTCCTGGTTCGTCAGACTGAACTGGTTCTACAGACTAAACTGGTTCTTCTGACTGAACTGGTTCTACAGACTCTCCTGGTTCATCGAACTCACCTGATTCTTCAGACTCCCCTGGTTGTTGAGACTGAACTGGTTCTTCACACTGAACGGATTCTTCAAACTCTCCCGGTTCTTCAGGTTGAACTAGTTCTTCAAACTCTGCTTGTTCTTTGACTGAACTGGTTCTTCAGACTGAACTGGTTCTTCAGACTCTCCCGGTTCTTCAGGCTGATCTGGTTCTTCAAACTCTCCTGGTTCTTCAGACTCTCCCAGTTCTTCAGGCTCATCTGGTTCTTCAAACTCTCCTGGTTCTTTGACTGGATTGGTTCTTAAGACTGAACTGGTTCTTCAGACTCTCCTGGTTCGTCAGACTGAACTGGTTCTACAGACTAAGCTGGTTCTACAGACTCTCCTGGTTCATCGAACTCACCTGATTCTTCAGACTCTTCCGGTTCTTCAGGCTGAACTGGTTCTTCAAACTCTGCTGGTTCTTTGACTGGACTGGTTCTTAAGACTGAACTGGTTCTTCAGACACTCCTGGTTCGTCAGACTGAACTGGTTCTCAAGACTGAACTGGTTCTTCAGACTCTCCCGGTTCTTCAGGCTGATCCGGTTCTTCAAACTCTCCTGGTTCTTTGACTGGACTGTTTCTTAAGACTGAACTGGTTCTTCAGACTCTCCTGGTTCGTCAGACTGAACTGGTTCTTCAGACTAAACTGGTTCTTCGACTAAACTGGTTCTTCAGACAAGCCTGGTTCTTCGACTAAACTGGTTCTACAGACTCTCCTGGTTCATCAAACTCACCTGATTCTTCAGACTCCCCTGGTTCTTCATACTGAACTGGTTCTTCACACTGAACGGATTCTTCAAACTCTCCCGGTTCTTCAGGCTGAACTGGTTCTTCAAACTCTCCCGGTTCTTCAGGCTGAACTGGTTCTTCAAACTCTCCTGGTTCTTTAACTGGACTAGTTCTTAAGACTGAACTGGTTCTTCAGACTCTCCTGGTTCGTCAGACTGAAGTGGTTCTTCAGACTAAACTGGTTCGTCAGACTGAACTGGTTTTTCAGACTGAACTGGTTCTTCCGACTTCACTGGTTCTTCGACTGAAATGGTTCTTCAAACTCTCTTGGTTCTTCAGACTCTCCCGGTTCTTCAGACTAAACAAGATCACCAGACTGAACTGGTTCTTCAGACTGAGCTGGTTTTTAAGGATGAACTGGTTCTACACACTGAACTTGTTCTTCGACTGAACTGGTTCCTCAAACTCTCCTGGTTCTTCAGACTCTCCCGGTTCTTCAGGCTAATCTGGTTCTTCAAACTCTCCTGGTTCTTCAGACTCTCCCGGTTCTTCAGGCCGATCTGGTTCTTCAAACTCTCCTGGTTCTTTGACTGGACTGGTTTTTAAGACTGAACTGGTTCTACAGACTGAGCTGGTTCTACAGACTCTCATGGTTCATCGAACTCACCTGATTCTTCAGACTCCCCTGGTTCTTCAGGCTGAACTGGTTCTTCAAACTCTCTTTGTTCTTCAGACTGAACTGATTCTTCAACTGAACTGGTTCTTCAGACTCTCCCGGTTCTTCAAACTCTCCTGGTTCTTTGACTGGACTGGTTCTTAAGACTGAACTGGTTCTTCACACTGAACTGGTTCTTTAAACTCTCCAAGTTCGCCAGACTGAACTGGTTCTTCAGACTGAACTGGTTTTTAAGAAGGAACTGGTTCTTCAGACTGAACTGGTTCTACACACTGAACTTGTTCTTCGACTGAACTGGTTCGTCAGACTGAACTGGTTCTACAGACTAAACTGGTTCTTCTGACTGAACTGGTTCTACAGACTCTCCTGGTTCATTAAACTCACCTGATTCTTCAGACTCCCCTGGTTGTTCAGACTGAACTGGTTCTTCAACTGAAATGATTCTTCAAACTCTCTTGGTTCTTCAGGTTGAACTAGTTCTTCAAACTCTGCTGGTTCTTTGACTGGACTGGTTCTTAAGATTGAACTGGTTCTTCAGACACTCCTGGTTCGTCAGACTGAACTGGTTCTCAAGACTGAACTGGTTCTTCAGACTCTCCCAGTTCTTCAGGCTGATCCGGTTCTTCAAACTCTCCTGGTTCTTTGACTGAACTGGTTCTTCAGACTAAACTGGTTCTTCAGACAAGCCTGGTTCTTTGACTAAACTGGTTCTACAGACTCTCCTGGTTCATCAAACTCACCTGATTCTTCAAACTCTCCCGGTTCTTCAGACTGAACTGGTTCTTCAAACTCTCCCGGTTCTTCAGGCTAAACTGGTTCTTCAGACTCTCCTGGTTCTTCAGGCTGAACTGGTTCTTCAAACTCTCCTGGTTCTTTGATTGGACTAGTTCTTCAGACTGAACTGGTTCTTCAGACTCTCCCGGTTCTTCAGGCTGATCTGGTTCTTCAAACTCTCCTGGTTCTTTGACTGGACTGTTTCTTAAGACTGAACTGGTTCTTCAGACTCTCCTGGTTCGTCAGACTGAACTGGTTCTTCAGACTCTCCCGATTCTTCAGTCTGATCTGGTTCTTCAAACTCTCCTGGTTCTTTGACTGGACTGTTTCTTAAGACTGAACTGGTTCTTCAGACTCTCCTGGTTCGTCAGACTGAACTGGTTCTTCAGACTCTCCCGATTCTTCAGTCTGATCTGGTTCTTCAAACTCTCCTGGTTCTTTGACTGGACTGTTTCTTAAGACTGAACTGGTTCTTCAGACTCTCCTGGTTCGTCAGACTGAACTGGTTCTTCAGACTCTCCCGATTCTTCAGTCTGATCTGGTTCTTCAAACTCTCCTGGTTCTTTGACTGGACTGTTTCTTAAGTCTGAACTGGTTCTTCAGACTCACCTGGTTCGTCAGACTGAAGTGGTTCTTCAGACTAAACTGGTTCGTCAGACTGAACTGAATCACCTGGTCCTATCAGAATCTGTAAGTCATCTTCACCTTTATATTAAATGGATTAGTTCATTAGTGAATTAGTTGATTAATGGATAAATAATTAGCTGATTATTGATAATGTAAATAATAAAAAGCGTCTTTGATTCTTTAACTGTAGGTAACTGAGTGGAAACGATATCGTCATACTAATGAGTTTTATGAACAAAAGAATCAGCTGATGAAGATGAAGATGATCTTCACAGTGTTTGACAAAGAAATGTAGAAAAACAAACAGTGACAGCAGCAGATTCACATTATTCATACACACACTTCAGCTAAAACACACAAAAACACACACATTTACAGAGGTATTACAGGCTGCTCTCTCCATTAGGAAAACACACACACACGCGCACGCACGCACGCACGCACGCACGCACGCACGCACGCACGCACGCACGCACGCACGCACGCACGCACGCACGCACGCACGCACGCACGCACGCACGCACGCACGCACGCACGCACGCACGCACGCACGCACGCACGCACGCACGCACGCACGCACGCACGCACGCACGCACGCACGCACGCACGCACGCACGCACGCACGCACGCACGCACGCACGCACGCACGCACACACACACACACACACACACACACACACACACACACACAGACAGACGGAACATGCTCTTCCATATTCTGTCCCTCATAAAAAGGATTGTGGCCTCCAAAATCAATTACCCTCTCATCCTGGGGGGGGGTGGTGGTGTAGGGAGGAAGGAGGAGGGGGGTCAGGGGGAGGAGGGGGTGTAATATCTCTAATTAGATTTTCTGGTGTATTTGGTGGCTCCTCGAACAGGACGAGAGCTCGTTTCACAGCTCTTAACGAGACCGACGTGGTGAATAATGAAGAGGGAGGGGAGGAGGGGAGGGGAGTGGAGACAGGGGGAGACAGGGAGAGGCAGGGGGAGGAGTGAGGGAGAGAGCAACTATTATCTCTAATTAGATTTTCTGGTGTATTTGGGGGGGGGTTGTTGTTTTCCACCAGGTAAACACAGTAAACATGTAAATTAGTGAATAATCAAACAAACAAACAAACACCTGTTGCCTCCTCAACACATTCTTCATGTCAGGCTCATGATGGATGGAGCCTACATTACCCACAATGCACCTGCAGCTCTTACAGTTCAGTGTCCGGAGGGGGTCGACCGAGTACAAGACCAGGACCTGAACCTGCAGGTCTGTGTTTACAGACACTCTGTAGGTCAAAGGTCAACAATAAAGATCAATATAGTTATTGATCATCAATCTGTCTGCAGCAAAAACAACATATTTAACAACCTGATGTCGTTCTGTCTGGACCAATCAGAGCCCAGAGAGAGAGAGAGAGAGAGAAGGAGAGAGTGTGTGTGTGTGTGTGTGTGTGTGTCATACTCAGCAGCCTGCTGTAGTCGGCGTGCACGAAGCAGAGCCTCGTCTCTCTCCTCATTGGCCAACAGGAGTCGTGACATCAGAGCCTGATCTCTGTCCTTCTGAGCTGCCAACACCTCCTCCAACACCGCTGAGGAGAGGAGAGGAAAGGAGAGGGGGAGGGGAGAGGAGAGGAGAGAAGAGGTGTTACTGTTAAAATCAGGGGTTTATTGTTAGTCATTTCATTTGAAAAGTTTCTGTTCAGTTCTGTGGTTCTAACCAGAACCTGGATCTAACCAGAACCTAGTTCTAACCTGAACCTTAAAATCAGGTCTGAACCCTCAGATCTTTGAAGGTGTGAGGATCGACAAAAATGTCCTGACTCTGTTGGGTCTGTAATTGAAACTGGTCCTCACAAAGATAGAAATACACACAGACACATACACACACACAGACACACACAGATACTCACACAGCTCAGTTAAATCAATATTAAACACACACACTGTTCTGTTAAACTAACAACTGCCTCGTTAACTGTCACCTCGTTACCACTGCTGTTGTTTTAATTACAGTGTGTGTGTGTGTGTGTGTGTTGGTATTAAACAGTGTGCATGAAAAATAATCAAATATTTAAGAAGTTTAGGTTTGATCAGATCTGATTAAGAGGAGAGTAAACTGTGACCCCCCCTCACCAGCAGGTCTCTCCCAGCCTCGGGCCTCCCTCTGCTCCTCCCTCAGCTCCTCCTCCACCTCCCTCCTCTGCAGCTCCTTCTCCTTCTGAAGCAGCTGGTCCTGCAGCTAGAAGACAGTCAGGTGTTAGTAAGGACCTCTCTCAAGGACCAGGACCAAGACCAAGACCAGGACCAGAACCTTCTGTGTTGTTGTAAGGATCTTCTTCTTCTTCTGTGTTTCACAGGATCTTTCAGATAAAAGTCTGATTTCATCATGACGTTCTGTGATTGGTGACTACTGTTGTATCAATAATGTACTACCAATGAATCTTTTGTCAGAACAGACTCAGTTCACTGTCACAGGAGAGAAAGAAAAGCTTCAGATGTTCATGAACCTGAGAAACAAAGAAGAGGAGCACGTCAATCGTTCCACTTCACAATAAGACTTCCTTTATCAAGGATTTATACGGTAAAGGTAAGGTAATAAAAAGGTTATCAATTCAGTTATTAACACTTTATAAATCATAAACTATTATAAACAAATTATAACACTGTTTTCATACACTGACACAGGAACACTATCTGGCAAGATAAACTTAATGCTTCCTACTCATTAATCTGACTAATGACTCACTATCACTTATAACTGGTGACAGGAGCCTTTAGTAAAGTGTGAAACACACATCATTTATTAATATGCCAAACTCTTTGACCATTAAGATGCTGACGGTGGTTAATTGTTAGTAACTGAACAAACGTGATGAAGCAGCTGCTACAAACACTGATGATGAAGAAAACAGAGATATGAGGCTGAACAGTACAGATAAAGATTTTATCTGATGTGTTGTAACAGCTTATAGAAGATTTATAAAGTATTAACAAGCTAATTAATAAACTAGTTATAAACCATTCATTAATCCTTTATGAGGGTCGTCTTATTGTGAAGTGGTACCAGTAAATGTCCTCAGATCCATTGTTGGTTTTACCTGCTCTCTTCAGAGCCCTCCTCTCCTCACTCCTCTAACAACATGTCTGAGCTTCACCTGATCTCCTTCACTTATTAAACACCTGTAGGACTGAGTCCTGACACCAAGGTCTCAGGTGAGGTGTCAGGTGAGTCGTGTGTGTCTGTATTTACCTTCTTGTTGAGTTCTCTCAGAGCGTCGAGCTCCTTCAGGAGAAACGAGATGTTCCTGTCTCGATCAAAACTCTGGAGTCCACCAACTGAGACGTCCTGATGAAGACTGAGGAGAACAGGATCCAGTTAGAACCAGAGACCACCCCCAGAACAACACGGCACACATGTGACATACATGACCAGGTCACAGAGACGTTTGAGAACCAATAGGTTTCTCTATAGCAATGCTTAGGTTCTGTTCTAATCTAAGGTTCTGTTCTGATCTGAAGTTCCGTACATGATCTGAGGTTCTGTTCTAAACTTAGGATCTGTTCTGATCTGAGGTTCCGTACTTGATCTGAGGTTCTGTATGTGATCCAAGGTTCTGCACCAGCAACTCTTAACAGCAGAAACACTCATATGAAGTGACAGACAATGGAGCCAGAATGAGGATCTGGGTTCCCTAGGTTCTCTGGGTTCTCATCTATCATGGGGACTGAAAGAGGTGTATGCCACTTCCCATGCCAAAGTTTGGATCTATAAAAATAAAGCTGACAGGAGAACATTCAGGAACTCCATTTATGGTTAAATGTGGGAATGTTGTGGGTGGAGCATGAGGCTCGCCAAAGTTGATTGTGATTAATAATTAATAAGGACAAATCGTGTGGAGGTGTGCACAGTTTTAGTCTGGATGAGCCCCAGGGTCAGGTCCTGGCCCCGGGGCAGGCCCAGTACACCTCAGATCTTTATAAACCCGTCAGTATCAGGTATGGAAATAACTTGTATTTTGAAATGTGGGTCTCCTGCTGTAGACACATCCCATAATGAATGCAGCAGGTGAGCTGGTGGTCAGTGAGGCTGTGATTGGTCAGGACTCCTGTGACATTACCTCAGTGTGTGTTTCATTAGAGTTTCACCTGTGTGTAGTCAGGTCAGGTGTTTTAACCTGAGGTTGTGGCCTCACATTATCAGATATGAGGCTCAGAGATGAAGGCAGCAGGTTATGAGGTGTTGCTTTAATAAGCAGTGACTGATGTTCGCCTGTAATTCTCTCATATCACCTTAAAGGTCAGGCTGCTTCTTAGCGTAATAAAGCGGGTAAATAAGACACTGGAATATGGCTGACACTGTCTTCTGTAATTGAGTGTTTCTCACTTTATAATATCAGCTGCTTCTAATCAACTTCCCTCTCTTCCCGCCTCGATTGCTTTTACTATCTTTCTATTTCTGTCTCGATCTCTAACGCTTCCACTAATCAAATCACATCTAAATTTAATAGGTCACATTTCATACAGTGATGCATCTCTAACTGCTCCACAGATCTCATCTGAAAATGCATCAAAAGAGACAAAAGAAGCAAAAAACACAGGAATTACAGAATCTAAAGAAAGCTGAGGAAGTTTAATCAAAAGCAATAAACTTTTTAATAACTCTGCTCACTGTAGAGAACATTTCAAAAACACTACAGTACATTATGGAATATCCAATATGCATAATAGGATTATTATTCAAATGTGTAATAATCTATAGATACATCATGCCTTGGTTTAAGTGTCTTCACATATTTCAGGTCTCATTTAAAATACTGTCACTAGAACTCATTCAGCACCAAGTCCATGCTACAACTCTGAAACTGTGACGGTATTGGTTGTTCTGCAGGACTGAAGGTACAAAGATGTCAAAGGTCCTGGAGATGTGATTCTAACAGGACTCTATAGAGGGCAGTATAACAGCACTACAACTGTTGTTGTTTGTTTCCAGTCTGACATCAAACTGGAGGAGAAGAAGACAGGAACAGGAAACAATAACAGCATGTTGGATGACAGCAGCATGTCCACAGCGACTTGTGGAAAAAAACACCAAGACTAGTGTATGGAGATGTTCAGTCTGTGATGCAGATGATCGATAACATGAACATATTTATATGTCTTGGGTCCTTTTTTATAAATAATTAAACATTATCTCTGTTTCTACTCCACTTTTTTATTTGAAAACACATTTTGAACATGTTGATGAAGAAAAGAGACTGTTAATATATTATACTCTATATAGTATTATGATGATGTTGATGATGATTAATAAACATCTAATGAAAACCTTAGAAACTGTCCAGAACACTGTAGCGTCTACTTAACAACAACTTTCGGGGCGTCGAGTAGCTCAGTTGGATGAGCATCCGCCCCATGTGTGGAGGCCACAGTCCTCGCTGCAGTTGGCCCCGGGTCGAGTCCCGCATCGGACAGCCCTTAGCTGCATGTCATTCCCCCTCTCTCTGCCTCCCCATTTCCTGTCTCTCTCTACTGCACTATCAATAAAGGCATAAAAAGCCTGAAAAAAAATAAATTTAAAACAACAACTTTCACCTTTCAATCTAAGTGTGAACATTCCAACTGCTTTTAGTACATTCACATGAACTATCAGCAGTTTTCTTTCATTCATCACATCAGCTACCTACAGCACTCACCTCTGACTCTTCCTCTCCTTTCAGTTCTATTACTTCAGCTGACATTTCCACTCCTTTCAGTGTTACCACCTCTACTGACACTAAAGCTCCTTTCATTTTTGCCACTTCAGTTTCCACAGCTCCAGAGAAACTTTAAGACTTAAGTACATTTTCTCCACAAAATTATCATTGTTACTATTATTACTTTTAGTTAGGGATGAGAATCAAGAAACAGTTCCAGTTGAGAACCAGTTTGAACTGGTTCGATCCATCCACATCATTTGCATTTATGCTTAGCGATTCACTTATCGATGCCTTCCACTTAGTTCCACGTGCCTTGCAAAACAATGATGTCACACTTTCGCGAGAGGCAGTCAGCGCGAACAACAACTAAGGGTTTGAGGAAGTGTGGCTTAATTTCACACGAAATGACGCAATACAGTGCACAACAGTGCAACGTGCAATGTCTGTGGCACTAAGATTTCAAGCAAGGGTGGAAACACCATCAACATACTGAAACATCTGTCGACGCAGCACAGCATTAAATATCAGGAGTGTCATGTGTTTGACACTCTACACCACCAGTCAACAAGTGCTTCCCAGTCTCAGCAGAGCAGTGAAGGGACATATCAGTGATGTGTCGGTCGCGAACGAGCCAGCTCTTTTAAGTGAACGATGGGAGCTGGCGCCTGTCCAAGGAATGTTTTTTTTTTTTTCAAAAAATTAATATAAGGCAGACCTAAAGAGGCACACCATCACTACTTTTAGTAACAGAAGCAGCAGAAGTAGTAGTAGCAGTACTAGTAGTAGTAATAGTAGCACTAGTAGTAGTAGCAGTAGCAGTAATAGTAGCACTAATAGTAGTAGTAGCAGTAGTAATAGTATCCCCTCTCTCACCTGTCGTCAGCAGTGACCAGGTGTCTTCTATGGGCGGGACTTCCAGGTCCTCTGGGTGCTCCACCTCCACAGCTCTCTGCCCGAGGAGAAGGGTCTCTGCTGGGGTCCATCTCCATCTCCCCTGCACCTCCTGAAGGTCTGGAAGGCAACGGAGAGACAGACCTCCTGTGGAAGAGGGGTGAGACAGGAGAGACAAACCTCCTGTGGGACAGAGGGGAGGGGGAGCAGGAGCTTGGATGATCCTGGAGGTGCTGGGAAGCTGAGGGAGAGATGAGATGAGATGAGATGAGATGAGATGAGATGAGATGAGATGAGATGAGATGAGATGAGATGAGATATCTTACCCTGAGGCCACTCGATGTAGTCCAGACTCAGACCGGTCCCTGATCTGTAAAACATCAGAAACACGATTCTCAATGAAGTTCTGCAGCCTCTGTTTCTCTGGAGTTTTATTCTGAAGGGACATCAGAGATCATGACATCATCAGGAAGTGAAGTCACACTGAATCAGATCAACATGTGGTTCAGTACCGACTCAGGACTCATTTTGAGCGGTTTGTCAGCGTGTAACTGAAAGGTGATGGCAGTGTTGTAATTTCATTTTAAATCAGACCAATCAGAGACAGGGAAATCCTGCTGGCTTATTGGCTGACAGGTCTCTCACAGCTCTTCAGGTGAAGAGGGTTTGATGCTAAACAATTGGCTCACAGCCAGTGGACAAAAGGTTGAAGCTGAAGCTCACACATGGAAACAAGGTGTGTGAATGATATATGACATAAAGCTACTCTGTAGCAGCTAAAGTGTTAGCAATGTTAGCTTAGCCAAGTTTTATATTGTGTTTCTGACCTCACACTGACAGGAGTCTGTTCAGAAGAACCCTGACAGTCTACAGCCAACGGGTCTGAGCTCAGACCAGGTCCTCTGTCCCCTGCATTTCCTGTCTCTGTCAACCACTTGCATTCTTCACCTCACCTCTGCAAACAGTTTAAGATATTTTTTACTGGAAATATTGAAAAAATCAGATCCCAGACTGATAGCTCCCACCCTCACAATCTACCTGTCCCAGAGCCTTTAACTCACAGATCATTTCATACTTCCTCCCTCAGCTCATTCACACCAGTGTCTTTGTTTACACTCACTGACATGGTTAAATAAATTAAGTCTTCATTTTGCTCTTTGAATGTGGTCCCTACGAGACTACTGAAGGAGACTACGCCTGCTATTGGTCCTTCCATTTTAGCAATTGTTAACAGCTCCCTGACTTCTGGCTCTGTCCCTGCCAATTTTAAAACTGCTCTCATCAAACCTCTTCTTAAGAAACCCAACCTGGATCCTACCACTCTGGAGCATTACAGACCTGTCTCTAAACTTCCATTTTTGTGTAAAATCCTTGAAAAAGTTGTGTTCAAATGGTGTAGACAGATAGATATACAGACTCGTTAATACACTTCTAAAGACTTGGTACTCTCGCCTTGACTCCTCTCTCACGCTCTGATCCTCTCCTCCCCCGGCACTTTCCACTTGTGGCTGAGAACTAGGCCTACTGTCAGTCCTGACAAATTAACCGTATCTCATTAGTGAGATGAATTAACATTTTTTTCCCATATTAGAAGAACTAATGATCTCTGCACTGTTTCACCTGTCCTCGCGACTCTCCTCACAAACTCTCTTTTTAAAATAATCTGTGATTTGAGACATTTCTGCAAAAAAAAACAAAAAACAAAAAAACATACAGGATGGGATGTAACGTTAATTTAGGGAAACTTTTCAAGAAGCTGGGTGTGCGTCAATGTTAAAAATTTAATATTCATCTGTAGGTTTGCCACCTTTTATGTGGAAAAAAGGAGGCAACTGGTTTGGTTTTACTTGACATTACATTATTCACAGTACTTTGAGGACATAACATGAACGAAAATACGAGACAAATTGCGTCCCGTATTGATTCAAATCCAGAGAGTACAGAGAAAAAAAGTACTAGAATTTTGTCGGGAGGCGGAGGCGTCCCGTATTGATTCAGTAAAGGACACAGCATTTTATTTTCAAATACGGGACGGTCCCATATTATATGGGATGGGTGGCAACCCTATTCACTTGTTTGAAGAGCCTCAAAATTAGGTCGCCGTCTCCTTCCGCCGGCAGAAAATCCAGCGCGTTCACATTCTTCTTCTTTGGCAATTTCGGATGCCTCAGCCTGATGCACGGATTACGATACAGCGCCACTACATTGGCGTAGTGGCGTACAGCCGCAATTGCAGTTACAAAGATCAAATCCACAGAGTACCGAGAAAACAAGTACTAGAATTTTGTCGGGAGGCGGAGACGGAACGAAATTTGACTGAGGCGGCCACCTCCCAATTCTCTGTGCAGGAAAAACCCTGGATACACAACTTTATCTACCAGTCAGGCCCGGTAATAAGTCCAATATAGCAACCCTCCACAACTGTCTTGCTGAAATAAAATACTGGATGTCAGACAACTTCCTGCAATGAAATCAGTCAAAATCTGAGGTCATCGTACTTGGTCCACCTGCAAAAAGAATCCAAATCATAGAAAACTTAGATCAATTAACACAATGACACCAAACCCTCAGCCAAAAACCTTGGAGTAATTTTTGATCAGGATCTGTGTTTTACGCCCGAGGTGAAGAAAGTTGTCCAATCATGTTTCTATCATTTGAGAAACATAGCCAAGGTCAAGTTTCTAGTTTCTGCCACAGACCTAGAGACGCTTTTATTTCCTCCCGCGTTGACTACTGCAACTCACTCTACACCTGTCTCAGTCAAAAATCAACACCCACAGTTGGTTCAGAACGCTGCAGCTCGGCTACTAACCCGGCCCAAAAAATTGTGGCCACATCACTCCGGTCCATGCATCCCTTCACTGGCCGCCCGTTTATTTTAGGATTGATCTTAAAATTCTTTTAATTACTTTTAAAGCCAGACTTGGGCTGGCCCCTCCTTATATTTCTGAACTTTTAACCCCTTATGAGCCAGGACGCAGTCTGAGATCCTCTGGTAGTCCACTGCTGGCCACTCCAAGGTCTACATTAAAAACCGAAGATGATAAGGGCTGTCAGGACCCCTACACTTTGAAATAAGCTACCAGAGGAGATCAGACTTGCAGAGTCAGTTCCTCGTTTTACCTCACTTCTTAAAACACACTCTTATAAAAATGCTGTTATTGTGAGATGTCCTTTAATTTCATTTGCATTTCACTTTGATTTGTTTTTATGTTTTTATTTGATTCATGTGAAGCACTTTGTTATTTGTATTGAAAAGTGCTATACAAATAAAATATTATTATTATTATTATTATTATTATTAGACAGTTGTCAGACAGGTATAGATAGGGCTCAGACAGGTGTAGACAGGTGTCAGACAGGTGGGGGTGATGTCACACTACCTGTCAGGGTTGATGAGTTGTTGTCTGGCAGGTGAAGGCAGACGTTGTCGCAGCTCCGCGTTCAGTCTGGGATTATCTGAAAGACAGAGACGTTCACCTGTTAGTCCACCTGTCTGTCTCTCATCTGTCTTACTCTCTGCAGGGTTAGCAGTCAGTTATCTGTCTGTCTGTCTGTCTGTCTGTGTGTTTTGTTGTTTACTTTGACTTAATGAGCGTTTATCTTGAGATCTGCCATGTTCTTATTACACCTGCACTCTGATTGGTGGAGTCTTTGATGGAGCTGTGGACTGTCCTTAACGAGGCCTTAACGAGATATTAAGACTGTGTTTACTCTGCTAATGAGCTGCAAGTGTTTAGAAAGATTGACACGACAGGATCGCTGCTGGTTAAAAACTGATAAAGACAGACAGGTGAGAGAAAGTCACGTGAGAGACAGACAGATGATTAACAGGTGGCTGGAGCAGTATTTCCACTTTGTTTGTGAACTGTTGCACTTTCTAAAATAAACCTGTTTCACCTGAAACACCTGTCCACTATAGAAACCTGATCCCACGTGACAACAGCTGAGGCTCATGGGTATTGTAGTATTTTTTCAAAGAGTGTAATTTAGAATCTAGTGTCAGAACATAAAGAACCAGGTCCAGGTCCTGGTTCTGCTATATTAACAGTTATTGAATAATTTACTCTTTGAGCGTTTTCACTTTGAAACTTTTCTCATTTCCTGCCGTCCTCTGCCTCCCCCGTCCTCCCCCTGTCCTCCCCACGTCCTCCTCCTGTCTCTGATCTTCTTGTGGACTCAGAGCTAATTGAGCGCGGCGGCTCTCCTTATTATTCATGTACAATTACAGATGTGATAATGTCTTAAATCCTTCTAAATGACCGTTCATGCTTCGCGCTCGCTTTGAAGTCTCGTCAAAGATGGAAAAATCTGCAGAAAAAAGGGAAAACACAAAGGCCAATCAGAGGACCAATCTACATGAACCAATGGGGGGGGGGGGGGGGGGGGGGGTCCCCCATCTGCCCCCCTTCTTCTTCATGTAATATAAACTAAAGTCCATTAATTTTTTAAGCTGTATTTAATACATTTTGTGCAGAAAGTTTGGTGCAGTGAGTGAGGGGGGGCTCCAGCTGACTGCATGAATATTAATGACGGTGTTACGATGATTAAAGAGGCTTCAGCTCAAATCCAACACAATCCGCCTGTGATCCGGCCCGCCGACACCACGCCGCCGCCACGCCGCACATGAATTTAGATACCGACATTAAGCCGAAGAGAGAAGCAACTTATACAGGACACACACACATACACACACAAACACACGCACGCAGAGATGTATTATATTAATACAGAGAAACATACAGTAAATACTGATGTACAACATACATCTACACAAACAGTCAATCTGAGCGCTCAAGAAACAGTTTATTACAGCTAAAAATTAATTAGCAGCTTTTTGATTTGACTGATGGATCCGCTTCTTTATTATAGATAGAGAATATATAGAATATCCACATAGAATATAGATTCTGAACTAATGAGCCATTTTCTGCTGTTTAAAAAAAACAAACAAGAAGTTTTATACAGTTTGACCCTCAGGTGTTTACAGAGGGAACACCAACACACAGGCCTGTTCATCATCCAGTGAACCATCTGCAGCTCTTCACATGGTCTGTTCTATTCTCAGGCCCATTAACAGCAGCTGATTCAGCTGAATGAGATGTGATCCGATGTGATCAGCTGGATCAGCTGTGATCAGCTGGATCAGATGTGATCAGCTGAATCAGCTGTGATCAGATGTGACCAGCTCCTGTCTGCAGTGTATCATGATGTTTTTCTTTGATACTGAAGGAAACTTAAAAACAGGAGGATTCTCTATGAAGTTCTGCAGACTCTGTTCATCAGGAAGTGACATCACACTGAATCAGACCAACCTGTGGTTCAGGTCTGAGGATTCAAATCTGACTCAGGACTCTGAGGAAGACCATGTTTCACTCTAGTTCACCTCACGGTGTCTTTGCCTCCTTCAGCTCTGCAGCGCCCCCCTTTGGAGGCTTTAGTCCATTTAGCCCCGCCCCCTGTCGCCATCACAAACAGGAAACAGTAAGAGACACTGGGACTGTGGACGATCTGGTCTGCACCAGAACTGGCCCACATTTACACATCTGCACAACACACACACACACACACACACACACACACACACACACACACACACACACACACACACACACACACACACACACATTCCTCCAGAGATATGAATAGCAGCTACTTCAGTCTGTCCAAACAAACCAGAGTCTGCAGCCCACCCTCATCTAACAATACAGTGTGTGTGTGTGTGTGTGTGTGTGTGTGTGTGTGTGTGTGTGTGTGTGTGTGTGTGTGTGTGCAGACCACCCACTCTGCAGATTAAACACAGTTCACACGACCGCCTCCTCCCTCTCCCTCTCCTCATTCACTCTCAGCCTCTCTCTGCCTTTGTCTTCCTCTTCTGTCTATATATTAATCTACTGACCAGCGTGTGTGTGTGTGTGTGTGTGTGTGTGTGTGTGTGTGTGTGTGTGTGTGTGTGTGTGTGTGTGTGTGTGTGTGTGTGTGTGTGTGTGCGCAGCAGGTGCTCAGTGGGGACCTTTTTATCAATAAAGTTTATTCCCACAAGTTTCAGTTTTACTCCAGCTCTGGTTTTAGGAAGAATTTAGGTTTTCACATGTTGTGATGTTTCAGTTAACAAACACCAACAAACAACAACATGTGACAACAGTGAAGGTGTGAAGAATGAACTGTAACTGTTGTCACTTAATTGTATTGATCAGATTTGATCAGAGAAGTCGTCAATCAAAATGATCACAACATTTCTTCTTCTGTTCAGAACTAATGATGTGTGACTGTGTTGTTGTGCTCTGACTGTATCAGTGTAGTACAGCTGTAGTACAGGTGTGATATGGTGTGATGGTCAGAGTAAGTCTACAGAAGCACCACAGAAGAGGAGACAGAAATAAACAGGACACATATGGAGTGATCTGAGTCTGGCTCCCTCACTGACACACTGAATACTGTGTTTCCTCCACAACTGTTTCATATGGTGTGTTTGATCTGGGCGAGAGACACCGACAGATGATGGATTATCACTGAGGCGAGAAAAAGACTCAGAGAAATTAATAAAAAACTGTTCACTTTCTGTCACATGATCCATATATCAGTACTTCAAATAGTACAAGTATCAGTACTTCAAATACTACTAGTATCAGTACTTCTGATACCTCAGAGATACAGCTGGGTCCTAACTGAAAGGTTCCTACAAAATAAAAGTCAACACAACGTGTAACACTAACCCAGGCAGATGTTCGAAACAGATGACTGTATAAACCGTTGTCATTCTACTGTTTACATGTATATTGTAGAAACAGGGTAAAATGGTTGTTGCTATGGTAACAACTAATAATGATGTCTGTCAGTGATCTCCAGCAGGTTTCATCATCTGTGTTAACATCCAGCCTCTCAGCTCGACGTTTCACTGCAAACATGTTTAATGAAGCAGAAAGTCAAACTCCAAATATACAGACGTCCTCCAGACGGATTTACACAGCAGATTACGAAGGACGCACTCCACCATGATAGATAACTGTTAGAGGACAGAGGCACGTTCACACCTGTTCAACTGAAGGAATCGTTCACACCATCACCCTTCACCACAGCTGATTATTCATTATTGATTATTAATGATTGTGGAGTGTTATCATGTTGTATTTATCAGGTCTGTACTTCTCAGTTTGACTAATAAATCTAATTATTCTAAAACATTTTAAATTTAAATAAATTGACTTGTATTAAACCTGAATTATTTCAATCCTTCAGTTAAGTTCAAGAACAGGCCTTTAGTTGTGGTATTCCTGTGTGACCTTTGACCTCATCTCCATGCTGTCAATGTTGTTGTTCAGTGTTAATCTGTGTGAAGGACCATATCTCCCCCTGCTGGACAAACTGATTCATTACACCACCACACTCATTCTGTGATTTTACAGTGAGACTATCTGCTGCTGTAACACAGAACCTGTTCCTTCTTAACCTGTGAACACAAACCTTAGATGGATTTTGTGTGTGTGTGTGTGTGTGTGTGTGTGTGTGTGTGTGTGTGTGTGTGTGTGTGTGTGTGTGTGTGTTCACAAAGCAGCTCAATCCAGTAAACACTTCATCTCTGACAGTACCAATAAACACACAGCATTAGTTTCATCAGCTCCAGTAAAACCAGTAAGACTCCCTAACATGATGTGCCAGTATTTACCTGTGTACATGTCCACCAGCAAGTCCCTGAGCTCCCTGCTGGGCGTCCATGTTGACAGACTGGTCTCCTCTGGACTCTCTGAACTGGTTTCTCTGGAAACAGAAAATACACATCAGAAACACTGATCCTAGATCTAGACCTGGAGGATTCAGACTTCTACATCCACAGACATCATCATCACCATCAGAGAGACAGATACAGAAGAATAAATCCAGTCTAATCAAGAAAGAACACATTGTAGAAGTTAAAAGGACTTTTGACCTTTGCGGTTCACTCACACACACACACACACACACACACACACACACACACACACACACACACAGTGTTTTTGCAGAACATTATGATGTCATCACTTCTTCATTTTACCCTTTTATACATTTGAGTTAAATTATGTTATAATTAGGTTATAATTAGTGAATGAATTCTTGAGTTATGTATTGTGACGTCACTGTGACCTTTGACCCTCAGAATCTAATCAGTTCATATCATCGTAATCACTCACTATGCCATGTTGCAGTGCTGTCCAAATGTATAGTAAGAATTATCATACCCTACATAGTGGACTCATAGTATCCCACAATGCATCATTCAGAGTGTAGTGTACAACCAACAGCCTGAAAGACAGAAAGACAGTGTGGAGAAAATGAGCCGAGTGTGTGAAAGTGTTTTTCCATGTTAGCGATTAGCTCAGCCAACAGTCCTCTACACCGAGTGAAGGAGGGAGAGATTTCAGACACAACCAGTGCTGTACCAAAGAAACTCCCTCAGCTAAGAGATATCATGATGACGTCACTTGGGACTGTTGGTATGTACTGACATCAGCAGGTAACAACAGGTTGACCGATCACACCTGATCCTGATAATGCACCAGTCAGACCAGTAAACAGAGACCAGTAATCTGTTAAACCCAGTTGATCTCCAGTCAGCCTATACATGTGATCACATGACCTGCAGGTCACATGGTTCATGTTTAATCTGTACCACACTGTGTTCAGCACAGACCACGTTCTGTCAGGGTCACCTCCAGAACCACATCCAGAACACCTCCAGACCAGCTCGGGAACCCCATCCAGACCAGCTCCAGAACCAGCTCCAGGACCACCTCCAGAAGAGCTCGGGAACCACCTCCAGACCACATCCAGAACCACTTCCAGACCTACATCCAGACCTACATCCAGACCGCATCCAGACCGCATCCAGACCACCTCCAGACCACCTCCAGACCACATCCAGAACCACTTCCAGACCTACATCCAGACCACCTGCGACCGCCTCCAGACCATCTCCAGAGACCATGTCTCTGATGTCTCTCTTCAGTCTGAATTCTCATGTCTACAATGTCTCTGATGTGTCTTACTTGTGTCTCAGTTGCTGCTGCAGACTGCTGATCTTCCTCTTTGCTCTCTGCAGAGCGAAATGAACGTCCAGAGATCTGCTGCTAAAGCTGCCGGACGCCATCAACACAACTCCTGACTGAAAGCACACCTGACCATCTCCATGACAACCACCACACTCTGTGCCACCTCACTGCGTTTTCAGGTCACACAGGTGGAGGAGGACTGTGATTGGCTGACAGAGACTCCTAAACTTCCGCCAGTTAAATATTCATGAGCTCACAGGATCAGGTGAGTCAGGTGTCGTTTTCAGAGTTCAGAATAAAAGATAAAATCTATTATTACTTCTGTTTGATGTCACTAAACTACAGCAACAGGTAAAACCAACCACCTGATCCCAGAGTTTTCCCTCTCACTGCCCACATCCTCACATTAATAGACTGAAACTCTGTGTTTCTTTTCATTGGAACAGATGTGATAGATGTTTCAAATGTCACTAATGTCATTGTCCTGACATAGAGACAGAGACTGTTGGGATGTTTCAGCTACAAACATCTGGTAAAACACTAATGTGGTGAAATACTGTATATGACATTACATGCAAACGTATGATGCAAAATGTACTTCTGTAGCAGTGACTCCAGTCAGTGTTATATTATTATTACTAATACATTAACATCATTGTGTCAGAAGGAAAGCAAGCAAAGGAACTATTAACAAGACCAGGTCTAAACCTGGTATGTGTCTGGACCTTGTGTGGTCAATGTGTGAGAGTGAGGACGTAGTTTAAGACTGTTGTAGAACTGCTGTAAACAACCAACATCATCACGTCCTATTAACATTCAGTCTAGTCTCATCAGGTTTAGGCCTACTCTCAGCTGCTTCAGCCTAGTCTCAGCTGCTTCAGTCTAGTCTCAACTGGTTTCAGCCTAGTCTCGGCTGGTTTCAGTCTAGTCTCGGCTGGTTTCTGCCTAGTCTCGGCTGATTTCAGCCTACTCTCAGTTGCTTCAGTCTAGTGTCACCTGGTTTCAGCCTAGTCTCATCTGGTTTCAGCCTGGTCTCATCTGGCTTCAGTCTAGCATATGCTGTTTTCAGTGTAGTCTCAGCTGGTTTCTGCCTACTCTCAGTTGCTTCAGTCTAGTGTCACCTGGTTTCAGCCTAGTCTCAACTGGTTTCAGCCTAGTCTTGGCTGGTTTCAGTCTAGTCTCGGCTGGTTTCAGCCTAGTCTCGGCTGGTTTCTACCTACTCTCAGCTGCTTCAGTCTAGTCTCAGTTGGTTTCAGCCTAGTCTCATCTGGTTTCAGCCTAATCTCAGCTGCTTCAGCCTAGTGTCATCTGGTTTCAGCCTAGTCTCGGCTTGTTCAGGCAGTTTTCCTCATTAACATATTGATTTCAGGGCGGAGACAGGGTGGGGTGGGATGTGGCATATGCTGCGGTTCAGTATGAATCCCATTTAAGGCTTCGTACACAAGGCCACGGGTCACTACAGACCACATCTGGATGTGAATCGGACTCCTGGTCCTGAACTGATCTGAACTTCCTGTTGTGGAGCTCAGCTGATTCAGCTCAGATTACCATCACCATGGAAACTTTCATCATAAAGTTCATCATTTCTGCAGCTGTGACATCACACTGAGGGGCTGCTCTGATTGGTTTAGTGAGATCCTGCAGCTTTGCATTAATGAAATCTCTTTAACAAAGACATTGATTGATTGGTTTGTTTTATTGATTACTGGACATTTACATTCTGATTAACAGTAATGATCAGATCATGTCATCAAAGTCATGCTTTGTGTGTCCCTGCGTCCTGCAGCAGTTTGTCCAGGAGGACAACATTCACTCGATGTTTCATCACAAACTGTCCGTTCAGGTGGAACACAGGTATGTCCCACCTGTACCTGTCAAACCACACCCTGTTCTCCTGAAGACTGATGTCCACCTGCTGCAGGACAAACTGTGGGACAGAGAGAGACACAGTTAGTGAGGGACTTCCTGTCTCCTCCAACACCATCTGTTGTCTTTTATTAGAAAAATAAATTAATAGTTATTAGATCAATGAACACTTCAGTCAGACACTGTTCATCAGAACATGTAGCTTTGTGTTATGTCAACATGTTCTTTACTTTTCACCTGGATCCGAATTTACCTGCAGCTTTCACTCTTTCATCTCATATCTATCACTTCATTCCAGGTTCTGATCAAGTCGCTTCTCATTAACAACTCAACTTTTTACAACTGGAATTAAGAGAGCCAGGTGAATCAGCTAAACCAGACTGAGCTGAACTCACTTCATGGTCCAGGACCCTGTTCTTTAAATGTGGTTTTACTAAACCAGACTAACCTGCTGTTATCAGGGTAAAACAATCCTGTTAATCATCCAGATCATTTGGACAATCTGAGCACTAATTGTTGATGGTGTGTTCACATGATGATCAGAAATGATCAGAAGTGAAGCTTCAGTAACTCGTCACGGTGTGAATGTTCCATCATCATCATCAGTTTTACTTTCCTCATGGTGAAGTGAAGCTGCTGATTCAGTCACATCAACATGTTGACATCATCAATGTGAGACAGAAGAGGAGGCGGAGTAAGACTCACTCTGTGTTTGAACGGCTCCAGAACTTCTTTAGCTTCATCACACAAAGGACAGGGGTCCTACAGAGACAGACCAGGTCTTTATATACAGGAAGTACATCACTGTTAGTCTGATAATATACATCTTGTATACATGTAAATGTTAGTTTGAGTCTGTGGAGACAGAAAGGAGGACAGTGTCTCAGTCCACAGGTCACAGAATGTCAAATGCATGGTGTGTGATGTCAGGTACCAGGTGTGAGATTCAAGGTTACCTTGGTGAACAGAGTGAGAGTGGGTAAAGTTTGGGTAGAAAACAGTCTGAGAAGCTGCAGAGCTGCAGGTTCACACAGAGGAAAAGTCTTCAGGAAAAACATTTCATCTGAGAACAAGAACATAAGCAAACTGTTACTGACCTCAATAGTGATCATCCTCAAAGACACCAGCTGACCAGTCACAGAGCAGGAGGAGGGGCTTCAATACCCAGGACATGGAGGACAATGTTCAGCGTGGCATTTTTCAAAAGTCACGCTCCAGAACTCGTCGACTGGTTTGGTTCCTACTGGAGTTTGTGTGATGTTCAGTTCATCACACTCAAGTGGGAGGGTTCAGGGTCATGGGTTCAGGGACTGACTGAGTCCCTGAACTGAACTGAGACTCTGTTACTCATGATCCAGGACCAGGACTGTCATCACCAAATTGATTATAATTCTAAATATTTTAAAAGTTTTAATGTCTTTAAGTCTTTTTTAATTTGACAGCCTCAGTGAGGACGGACAGGAAGTGTGGGGACAGACAGTCGAAGAAGACATGCAGCAAACAGTTCAGGACATCGAACCAGGGACTCACTTCTCAGGACATTTACACCTGTGTGGATATTAAACCAATTTACCTGACGTTTAGTTTTATCTTAAGTATTTTAATCTTCACACAACCAGGATTCACCAGATTCTCCTGAACCTTGAAGCTGACTCGGTCATTTCACAGAAACAGACTGGGCTTATTGTGACGTCACTAACTGGTTTATTTGGTCATTAAACTTATTTTATCTGCGTTTCATTCGGAAAAACTTTCACTTTTATTTTAAAACCAGACATGCAGGAGCTCGCAGTTAACCCGGGTCATCTCCGCATCCGTTTTTGCCCTGTTAGCTGAAATGCTGGTCTACAGTATCCAGCGGTCCCGATTCTAAAGACCGGAACCAGCCGGTGAACTCACCCAGTCACGCTGGACAGCCGCGGTTCTGTCCCGGAGGAAAAACCTGGTCTCGAGGGTTGAGAGGAAGTTTCTGTTGGAGTTCGGAGCTAAAACACAAACACACCTCGGGTCCTTGTCATCTTCTTTTTCTTTTTCTTTTTCTTTTTCTTTTTTTTTTCCTTTCTTCTTCTTCTTCTGCTGCTGTCGCCTCCTCTTCTTCTTCTTCTTGTGTTTAATAACGGCGATTCACGGAATCCCGCCACCTGCTGTACCGGAGTGTGACATTGTCTTCATCCTGCTTTGACCAGACACAGCAAAGGCGCACTGCTGCCCCCACAGGCCGTTTGTGGAACTGCAGCGAATGTTTTTTTGAGGGAACTCACTAAACCAATATTAACAGTTATAACAGTTAGTTCCGACCAAGGAATTTGATTGGACGAGAGTAATTCCATGAGTACTGATATAGAGTACAACAGCACTGGGACTTTTAACTACATGTATCACTCCGCTTCACAGGTGTTATATTAACCGTTAATCAGCGTCACATTAACGCACACTGAGGTCGTGATGTTGTTCTGAATATTAGCACGGCTGTGCTTGTCTTCAGTATGAGGCCTGTGACCGAATCACAGCCCAACATCACTCCTCGTGTTATATTGTTTGAATATATACATGGATGTTTTTCTGTGTGATGTCACTGTTTTTGAAAAGCAAAAAAAATTAGTTATGAAGAAAAGAAAGTTTATTAAGGTGAAACTCATGAACGGGTGATTTTAAAGTCTCAGAGACCCCAGGGAAAAAAATTCAAATTCATACTAAATCTAGATCTTTCCTGGACCAGGACTCAGCCCTCCACCAAGTTCAGTATAAACCGGTTCAGTTTTGATTTAATCCTGCCGACAAACATAGGTAACTATAATTAATGTGTTTGTACATAAAAATGAATGAAGTCATGTTATAAGGTTTGGTGTTTGGTTTGTAAAAACCTTCAAATTAACCAAATGACAGACTTATAACTTTCTTTAAAGGTTTAAATTTTTCATTGGAGAAAACTTAGTGACGGCTTTAAGGTTATTTAGTTCATTTTAAGATTTCATTTTTCTATTTAACAGCTTGTAACAGCTCAGACTGATAATAAATACATTTAAAAAATATGTAAATTAAAAGCAGATTGTTCATGTTTTCTCTTTATTTTTATTCACACATTAACAAACATTCAAACTGTGCAAATGAATCAATGAGTCAGATGAATCTGTCGACGCTGAGAAACTCACAAGGCCACAGAGGAACAGCTGACTGGACTCTACTGGTTTCTACTGCTCTGGAATCCAGATCTGAATGATGGCACCTTCTGGGTCAGGTTTTCCTAAACTCAGTTTCCCATCACCTCGACATTCAGTGTCTCTGAACTCCTCTGAAGCTGAAGCTGTAGTGTTTTATCCTCCTACAGATCTTTGAACATGTCTGATAAACGTTTGTTCATTTGTTTGTTTGTTTGTTTACTCTGAGGTTAGTGACAAAATGTTTCTACCTGCTCACACCAGGTGAATTGTTGACTGAACTCACCTGTTCAGAGCTATAAAAATAAATACGTAGAACACTCTGGACCAGGCTGCTGATGGGAGGTTCTTCATGTTTCTACTGTTTGCTTGTTTCTATTTTTTTCTCCACTGTTTGTTTGTAACTACTGTTTTTGTTTGTTTGTTTGTTTCAGTTTCCTTCTACTGTTTGTTAATTTCTACTGTTTGTTTGTTTGTTTATTTCTGTTTGTTTGTTTCTACTGTTTGTTTCTGTAGATCTGAAGAACAACAGTTTCCACATCAGCACCAAAAATCAATATTCAATAACCAACAACTTCCTTCAAACTGACTCTTCTCTTGATCAACACTTTTCACTAGATCCTACTGGTCTGCTCTGGTCTCTACTGGTCTGTTTTCTGCGCTCCTCTGTGGCTGTGGTGATTTCCCAGCATACCAAACAGGTAAGAAACAGGAAGTAAAGCTCGATGCACGGCATCAATAATGAGCAGCAACAACATCCTCGCTGCGGTGGCCATGTTGGCTCTGAGTGATGTCACCATGGTGATGTCATGGCAACACTGATCCATTCACACACACACACACACACACACACACACACACACACACACACACACACACACACACACACACACACACACACACAGTTCTGTAGTCCATCAGCCAAACAGAAGAAGACCTGTCCACTGGTCTGTGTAGAGTTCACTCTGATTGGCTGCTTCCTGTCTGACTCTTCTTCTGTTCTGTCGGCGTCGCTCTCAGCTGGACCATCACTGATCCTTCCCATCATCCTTTGCTCTGCTGTGCGTGGACAGGTGAGCTGATCTCAGACCAGCGAGGTCAGGGTTCAGAGGGGTCACAACATCACGGGTCAGGGAGGTCAGAGGTATCCACAGTAACCTGCCGATCAAACCAATCAATACAGATATTAATCAGAATGTCAATCAATCAATGAGTAATCAATTAGTCCTCAGTCCTCTACATGTAGTCCTCAGAACTCTACAACTAGTCCCCAGTCTTTTACAACTAGTCCTCAGTTCTCTACAACTAGTCCTCAGACCTCTACAACTTGTCCTGAGACCTCTACAACTAGTCCTCAGACTTCTACATCTAGTCCCCTGACCTCTACAACAAGTCCCGTGACCTCTACAACTTGTTCTGAGACCTCTACAACTAGTCCCCAGACCTCTACAACTAGTCCTCAGTCCCCTACATCTAGTCCCCAGCCCTTTAACAGGAGGTGTTGCATGTCCTCACCTTGATAAATATGGTGTCGTCTTTGATGTAGCTGCCGGTCTCCAGGACGCTCTGAGATACAAACAGAGGACAGCCGGAGGCAATGTTCATCTCTGCTGCAGGACGTCTGAAGCTGCTGCTGTTGGGATCAGGTTTAAAGGCATCACCCAGGTGTTTCCTTGATGGACCCTGGTCCATCAGCATCAGAGTCACCTAACAGAAAGACACAAGCAGACAGAGGGACACTAAGACAGACAGGCTTGTCACCATCAGTTTGGCTCTACTACAACAACAATAATAGGATGGAGCCAGAAGATTCAGCAATACAGAATCCTTCACTTCCAAAACACCTTGTTAAAGCCAAGCCAGTAACCATGCAGTAACCAGCCAGTAACCAGCCAGGAACCAGCCAGTAACGAGCCAGTAATTGATATGTACCTTCTGTTTGAAGGGCCAGGGCAGCAGGGCATCGTATTCACCCCTCATCACCACAAAGAACAGGGAAAGGTGCGTTCCCTTGCCCATGCCGTCTCCGTTCAGGTAGACTCGGGCGCACATCTTGTATCCGAAATATCCGGTGTAAAATGGCTGTGAATACAGCGACAGCGTCTTTGCCGCCACCGCTTCCTGTTTTCGTCTCTTGTAGTCGCGGATCTTCCAGATCAGAGTCCCATTGTAGCTCGCTGTCTCCAGCACCTGGAAACGCAGGTCCATGTCGGCCAATCGGATCTCATGGACACTTAGCATGTCGTCATGTCGGTTCAGCTGAGTCTCCAGGGGCGCTGCAAAGAGGTGAATATTCATTATTGTGTTATTGATTGACTGTGTGTGTGTGTGTGTGTGTGTGTGTGTGTGTGTGTGTGTGTGTGTGTGTGTGTGTGTGTGTGTGTGTGGAGACCTCTGCTATTAGTTCCCAGACTTCTGGAGCTAGTCCCAATCTTTCTTAAGCTAGTGCCCAGTCTTCCATAACTAATCCCCTATAACTAGTCCCCAGACCCCTGTGTGTATTCTGACCCAGAGTGTGTGTTGTGGATCCAGTTCCGCTGCGCCCCCCTTGTTCCAGAGCATTCAGCCTCGTCCGTACGTTCTCTAACGTTCCTCTCAGGTCTTCCACTTCGTCTCTGAGCAGCCTGAGAGAACGAAGCTCCAGCTCCACCTCCAGGAGCTTCTCTGAGTGAGAGCTCATCAGTTTCTGTAGGAAGACAGAGATGGCTGTAAAGGTTTGGGGGAGAGACCAGGGACTAACTGAGAGTCTAGTTGATGCTGACGAGACTCCACCCGAGTCTTTGGTCTCATTGGTGTCATTTGTTTGAAGCCCTAGAGAGCATAGAACTGTCCTGTATGACTAAACACCTTGTCTCAGTCAGAACCTGATTTACATAAAACAAAAACACACTTTACATCAATCTTAGAACACTCTCACACATTGGTCCACTAACTACTTGTTGATTTCATTAACATTATAATTGTTTTGTAATTTACCTTCATCTATTTTATTAAATTCTAACCCACTCTGAACTTCCACAGCAAATCAAATGTGTGAGATAAATACATTGCCATCACTAGCTGGACTTCAGGGACAGTACCTGCATGGTGGCCAGTTTCTGCTCCATCTGTCGGTTCTTGTCTCTCAGCTCGTCGTTCTGGTTCTCCAGTTCAGACAGACGGCTGCTGAGAGCAGGAAGCACTTTGTACCTCTCCATCAGCTCACCTTTAACATCCTCCACCTGGAAACACACAAGGATCAGTCAGGTAGCTTTAATATCAACCTGTTTTAGTAACTCAACCTGATTGCTATAGTTACCTTGTTCTCTAACGAGGAGTTCCTGTTGGCCATCAATCTCAGGTGTTCAGCTGCGAACGTGGACTCATGTTGCCTCATTTCTTGGTTCAAACCCTGAAACACAAAGACACACAGCAGGTGTAAACACAGCCTGTACAGCAGCTGGTCACTCAGCTAAAGGTCAGGTCAAAGGTCAACAGGATGATGACGTGTTACCTTGAAGGTGCAGCCGTAGCGGTGGAACTGACAGCTCACCTGAGCTTTGGGACAGTCGTGTTGGTGATTGGACAACTAAAAGACAAAATCAGTCAATCAGTTTTATTAATACTGCTGCAGCCAAAACATGGTCTTGTGACTAGACAGTGAAGGACAAACTGGGTCAGTACCTCACTCCGGGGCAGGGAGGAGAAGGAGCAGTGGTTTGGACAGGACACTGGGAACGTCGGACACACCGTCTCTTTGTGTTTCTGAAAAACAAATCATATCAAACTGTTTCCTGTTCTCAGGTCGACTCTGTTTCTGGGAAAGTGAAGACCTCCAGACTGAAGGTACAGGAGGACAGCAGGTCCAGGTACCCCCAAAAGTTCACGACTGAGACTGAGCACCTGTCTTTCAACCTCTACAACTAGTCCCCAGACATCTACAACTGGTCCCAAGAACTCTACGACTAGTCCCGAGACCTCTACAACTAGTCCCCAGATATCTACAACAAGTCCCCAGACCTCTACAACTAGTCCCCAGATATCTACAAGTACCCAGACCTCTACAACAAGTCCCCAGACCTCTACAACTAGTCCCCAGTTATCTACAACTAGTCCCCAGACATCTACAACTGGTCCCAAGAACTCTACGACTAGTCCCGAGACCTCTACAACTAGTCCCCAGACATCTACAACTATTCCCCAGACCTCTAAAACTGATCCTCAGTTCTCTATATCTAGTCCTCAGAACTCTGCAACTAGTTCCTAGATCTCTACAACTAGTCCCCAGACCACTACAACTAGTCCTCAGTGCCCTACAACTAGTCCTCAGAGCTCTACAACTAGTCCTCTAAAACTAGTCCTCTGACCTCTACGACTAGTCCTCTAAAACTAGTCCTCTGACCTCTACGACTAGTCCTCTAAAACTAGTCCTCTGACCTCTACGACTAGTCCTCTACAACTAGTTCCCAGACCCTCAGCTAGTCCACTTCCACTGCAGGTTGGTAAGGGTGATGTCAGCAGTGATGTCATAGGCTACCTGCAGTTCAGTCAGAGGCATCTTGGTCATGCAGAACTCGCAGGTGGTCTCTCTGTGTTTACATTTCCAGCTCAGATGGTCGGGAATCTCTTTCCTCATCATTCGCTCTTTACATTTACCCAGTGGACAGGGAACCTCAAAGAATGGACACACGTTCAGGTGGTCCTATAGACAGACAGACAGACAGGTGAGAGACAGACAGGTGAGACCTTGGAGTGCATCAATGTTTCTAGATCAGTGGAAATGAATGCGAACTGTTGTGTTTGATGTGTCCACATATGGGATTTATCTACGGCACCCTACAACCAATGAGTATGCAGGATTCTCTGTTGCCATGGTAACAGTGTGTGAACATGTTCTCACAGGTATCTGGTGCAGACTCATCTGCTCCTGACAGCCGTTGGCTTCACTTCGACAGTAAACCTTCAGAGCCATGATCTCCCGATGGCAGCAAACATCTCTAAAGATCTTAAACACAAACCACAGGATAGTCAATAACTGATCCATAATCAATCAATAATTAATGACAACATTATCTGTCTTGTGATTCCCACTTCCAGCCCACCTTGTCTTTGAACAGCGGCTCCATGTCAGCTGGACACACCGGGTTTTGCTGACTGCCGGAGGACAGAGTACATTAAGTTACTGAGTCAACTGGTGACAAACACCTGACACCTGCTGGTCAGAGAAAGAACTGCACCTCCACCTGCTCCACCATCACTGGACTGGATGACACTGCAGCAGGAGCCAGTGTGGCGGAGGAGGAGAGGTGTGTTTGTTATCTCTACCTGTGACTCTCACCTGAGGATGTTGTTGATGCAGCTCTGACAGAAGCGGTGACCACACTCAGTCTGGCGGGGCTGACACAGGACCAGCCTGCACACTTCACAACAGTATTTGGCTTCTGGAGTCTCTACAAAGTGGTCTCTGAATCCTCCGTGAAGGGGCAGGAAACCTGCAGGTACACCTTGAGACAGAGACACGGGTGAGTTGCCTGAGGAAACCCTTCTGTCTCCGTAAACTAATAAGACATTCATTCTGAAACTCTATTTACCTTGTGAGGCAGCGGGGTCGCTGGAAGGCCAGGGATTGGCTGGACGGTGAGAGGACAGGGTGATGGGAGCGGCCACAGAGATGGAAGCGGCCAGGGAGGGCGCCACCTGCTGGAGGGGAATCTGCACCTCCCTTCCATCAGCACTCCTCCCCGCTGACATGACCTTGGGAGGGAGAGGGGGTGGGGGGGCGCAGTAGATAAACAGTTAACTTACAAACTGAGACAAAAAAAGTAAGATTCTCCAAACGTTGGGTTTTGACCCAGTTTGCACATGCTCAGTAGAGTCCAACGGACGACCATGACATAAGTTTTTACTTCCTGATTCTGCTATCTGATGCTCAGTAAATCATTCAGGGCTTTTATTTTGAAGTTTAGAATGTGTGTGTGTGTGTGTGTGTGTGTGTGTGTGTGTGTGTGTGTGTGTTAAAGATGCAGTCAGTGGAAAAGCCCCTAGCATCCCCACAACTGAGCCCTGACAGGAAGTGATGTGTTTCTGTTTAGTGTGTGTGTGTGTGTGTGTGTGTGTGTGTGTGTGTGTGTGTGTGTGTGTGTGTGTGAGAATGTTGTTTCTCCTCTCAGTCTTTCACTTTGTCTCCTATCAAAATGAGACCTGAACCAGGATCCAAGGTCTGAGGTAACTTCAGGTTTAACTCCTACAGCCCTACGACTGTGGTTCACTTGTTATCGAGGTAAATCACCATGGTAACTGATGCTGAACTCCTCACCTGCTCCGGATCAGATCAAAACCTGTCAACAGCCAAACCACTGACCAATCAGATCCCTGAAAAGACTGAGTCATCATTCCTACAGGATCCTGACAGGGAGTTTAAAATAAAGTGTGTGTGTGCGTGTGTGCGTGTGTGTGTGTGTGTGTGTGTGTGTGTGTGTGTGTGTGTGTGTGTGGAAAAACCCTGTAAATTCTCTGAACTTTGTCTCTTGTTTTTCAGTCAGAGTGAAACCTCGTTTGCTTTCACTTCAGCTTTAACTCTTTTAACACTTGACTCAGTCAGGTGACAGATCACCTGTTCAGGTGCTAAACAGAGAACCTTCATGTTCTGAGTCTCTGCTCTTTCACTGAAACCTTGTCAGTACAGAGAGAGAGTTAGCATTAGCACAAGTGCTAACACTGTGTCAGCCACTGCCAGTTACAAGCTAACAAAGATGCTAACTATGCATTTTGATACATTGCTAGTCTCTGATTCTGGACTCAACAGACTCCTCATCTGAGTCTGGGTCTGAGTCCGGGAAGACCAGAACCAGATGAAGATCAGACCAGTGCACATTACAAATCTCCCAGAGTCCTATTCTCTCACTCTCCTGACCTCTGACCTTTACCCTCTGTTGTTTTGTACCTGGAGTCTGATGGACCACTTTGGACACACCTGGGACTGACACATCTGTCCTTACTGTCCTCTTCCTCTTCAACCACCACCAGGTGTGATGGTTCACCAGCAGCTGGTTGTCAGTCTGGAACCTGGAATCCTACAGGATCTCAGATCTGTTGTCCCGTCAGGACCTGGGGACTTCTGATCCAGACTCATCACAGATATTCCTGCTGGACCGTCTCAGGGGCCTGCACCTCGGGTCCTGCTGCGGTAGACCCCTGCCTCCATGGATCTGTTCCTGGGGCCTGTTGGGACTATGATCAGAGCCTCTGCACTGTACTATCACAGCTGGGGACTGAGCTGGGAGCAGAGAGCAGCATGGAGGTCCTGAGCTGACCCCCTAGGACAGCAGTACCCCAGAGACAGACCACCTGAAGAATCCAAAAAACTCTGTGACGCCAAAGATGGCATTTGTATACATCTCGCCCCTCCCCCACATCAAACCTGACGCAAGTGAAACCATGTGCCTGTGTAGTCCAGAGACCAGACCACAAAAACCTCCCAGAACCAATCAACATCACAAAGGCCAGCTAGTCTCAGGTATGAGGAGCTGGAAAGGACCAGCACCAGCACCAGGACCTGATCCACTCCCACTGGCTGAAGAAGCTAACAGCACTACACGATCACCGCGAGCTGCTAACAACAGGAGTTCACCTGGACACAGGATAGGACCAACCTGATCAAAAAGGACCCCACAAAGGGGGTGGGTACCCTGCCTCTACAACATGGATGCTCCTCTCAGCTGAGCAGCACCATGAGTCAACGCAGAGGGTCAAAGACCAGCTGCTGGTCCATAGACCAGTGAAGCAGGACTCTAAGACTCTGAGACCGGAGGGACCAACCTGAGTCCCAACTGGACCAACTACAAAACCAAGACAGCCTAAGACTCACTGTATGAGTCTGGAGACCACAGTGTTGGTGCTACCAGAGAAGTAATTACCTTATACATATATATATATATATATTATTGATAATCATAATATTATTGATGATTGCTGCTCAGATATTTTTCACATTAAACTGAACCAAACATCTGGAGACATCTCTGAAAATGTGAAATACAACAAACATTTTCATTAATCAATAATCATTGTTGATTGATTGATAAATAAGGGAAATAACTGATCACTGATCTCAGGACTTTAGAATCAGTCTCTTTCTAATCATAGTTTTTGATATAAAATCAACTGATCAGCTGATCTGTGAACAGTCCTGTCAACCTGAAAACAGCTATTAACTACTAAATTGACTGATTGTGATAAAATATCAGATCAGATCAGAGGCTCTTTCTCTGTTGTTGATTGATTGCTTGATTATCAGAATAGTTGCCAGCTACTGACTGAGTGATTGATTAATTGTTCTCTTTGAAGGAGATGAACAGGAGTGTGAGATGCTTTCAGGCTGATCTGGTTTTAATTTCACTTTCTGCTCTGAGTTTGACTGATCAGGTCTGACAGCAGTTTCTGAATAAACTGCTTTATTTTATCCTTTACTCCCCAGGTCCTCTCTCTCCCTGTCTCTGTCCCTCTGTCTGTCTTTATTGACATGAACAAACGAATGTTATTGCCACAGCAGTTTACAGAATGTGAAAATACATTAATTATTAAATATGTGTCACAAACTGGCTTTAGATAAGAAAGTCTATGTCTCTCTCTGCCTGTCTCTCTGTCTCTGTCTCTAAACCTAACTTTCTCTGTCTGTCTCTCTCTCTCTCTCTACCTCTGTCTGTCTCTCAGTCTCTGTGTCTCCGAGTCAGTCTACTCAGGTCTGATGTAAACACTGACTGATGCTAACTGTTAGCTTCTTTAGCTCCGCGTTTCCCTGGCTGGATTTACAAACCACTAACACACAGCTAACGTGTTCTCCCGGGTTCTACTGATGTTCTACTGACTGTGGACTTACATGAATCTCCTCCGCAGGCCACAGCTCAGCTCGGCAGCTCCTTGGCTCGGTGAACTCTCTCCCGGATTCAAACCGTCAACCCGCCGCTGCCGCTGCCTCGGAGCCTCCAGGCCTCAGGCGAACTCCTCATGGTCCGGGTTTAGCTTCGGGGTTCTGGTTCAGGGTTCTCTGGGTCCTGTGCGTCCTCTGTCTGTGTGTGTGAGAGAGAAGTCACTGGGATCCAGTTCAGAGATCCAGCGGGGAGGACTGGGCTGATCACACTGGAAACCCCCTCCGCAGCTTCCGCCCAGGAAATCCCCCAGCTGCCCGGGGACGGAACCGGACCACCAGGGGGCGCTGTTTGTCTCAGACTGCAGGGACAGAACCGGACCACCAGGGGCGCTGTTTGAGTCAGACTACAGGAACAGAAGCAGCTGGTCCCACTGTCTAGCTCCGGTGATACAGGGTTTATCAGCTGTAATTAACGGCTTCATTAATGGTTAATAGATTTACTGATGTTTTATTGATCAGTTATTATCCATTAATAAGAACATTCTGGGGGGTTGCCAGGTTATGGCGTTACTATACAATGAATCAGTGTCTCACTGAGGAGGTTCTTCAGTTTCAGACTGATCAGGTTTACATTCTGAACTGAACCGGACTGGACTCAGTGTTTCACTGTGTCATGTTTGGGTCTGGTACAAACTTTAACTGTGAATCTTCAAACCAAGTATAGACAGATACATATATATATTTATATTTTTTTTTTTTCATTATTTCTATTCAATTATTATTCCACCAGCTCAACTTTCTCTATTTGTATTTTTCTTATTTCAACATTTCAATCCTGTTTGTTTCTGTGGTTAAAGGAGGATTCATCCTCCATGTGTTATAAATAAAGTTAGTTAAAAAAAATCTTTAGTTCAGTCAGATTCTTTTCTTTAGTCCTGTTGAATTCTTTCACATATTTGACCTCATGATGTTTTCCATGGAGGTCAAGGAGAAGAGGCTAAAGAGGAGATTGTTTTGACTTTTCGACCGCAGCCTTTGTGTCTGTGTTTGTGTTCTAAACTAATAAAGTAATAAAGAGTAGACACACTCATTTTTCATGAACTTTGGTTTTATTGTCACTCCTCTAAATGTCCTAAAATCCATAAAACAGGATGACGATACCTGAGTGACATCATCCAACATGGCTGCTTCAGTTCAACACCTCCACCCCCCAAAACAAACCTCCACACACACACACACACACACACACACACACACACACAAACACACACACACACACACACACACACACACACACACAGAAACAAACAACTCATAAAAACAAAAACAGCAGATTTAAAACAGAAAATATGAAAAAAAGACATAAACCAGGCCCCTCCCACTTTGATTGACAGGTCATGTCTGATTTCTGATTGGTCCAGAGAGAGCAGTAATGACAGGTGACAATTAATGATACAAACCTCAAACCTGGTCAATCGACTCATCAATTAAAGTTCAACACACTCTAAGTGATAAACTGAGAAAATACAACAAAATAAAATAAAATGAAGACATCATAAAACTAGAGGGGCGGGCCAGAATGTCTCAGGAGGCCAGAGGCTTCTGGGAGTCCAGCGGAGAGGACGAGTCCTGCAGGACAGAGTAGAAACAAAGTAGAGTTCCACATAACTACAGAAGAAACAGTTCAGTTACAGTAGAGTTCAGTAGAAACAGTAAAAGCTCAGGTACATGTAGCGTCAGCATTAGAACAGTAAATGAACCTGAGGCAGACAGGGAGGATTCTGGGATTTGTAGTACACATAACTAACTCCTCACCTCCTTTGTCTCCTTGGCAGTAACCTCCTCCTCCTCAGCAGGACAAACTTCCATCTTGTCCTCCATCTTGTCCTCCTCTACTCCCCTGTCTCCCACGTCTCCTCCCTCCATGCCGTGTTCGGCCTCCCACTCCTGAAGAACCTCGTCCAGGTTGAACCTCCGTCTGTAATTCACCAGGAAGTTCTTCACCTGAACCACCGACTTGTTACCAATCACATCTGAGATTGCCTGGAAGTCCCGCCCATACTTCCTGATGGCTGCATGGGATTGAATGTGAGAAAGAGTCACCGACCAATCACACTGAGTTTAATACAAGAGTCCCTGCTGACACCAGACTGTCTGACTCTGCTGAGGCTTCAAATCCAGACTGAACTTCAGTCACATCACTTCTTCTACAGTTAAACAGTCAGTAAAAGTGAACAGTCAGTAAAGAATAAACAGCAAACAGTCAGTAAACACTAAACAGTGAACAGTCAGTAAACAGTAAACAGTCAGTAAACAGATGACAGGCACTCTTTGTACCTGGTCTCAAGTACTTCAGGTGTGTCAGATCATCTGGTCACAGGTAGTTCATATGTGTCAGATCACCTTGTCACAAATAGTTCATGTGTGTCAGATCACTTGGTCACAGGTAATTCAGGTGTCACCTTGTACAGCGAGCAGCTGCTCCTCTGTGGTCCAACGAGTGTTAAACTTCTGATTCACCTGCAACAAAAAACAAACACGTGAACATGAAGATCAACAGCTACAGCAACAAACAAACTGACAACTTTGATAGTCAACCAGCATGTTGCTGTTGCCATGGTTACCTCAGGTTGCTTGAACTCCTCAACTCCTGAGCTGAGCTTCTCCTTCAGAGCGCTGTTCGTCTGTTTGATGGTCTGAATCTGAAACACACAAAGAGACAGGTGAGAGAAAGGTGAGGAGAGAGGGACAGGGGACAGACAGACAGACTGACTGTCAGACAGGTGAGCAGACAGATAGACAGACCTGTCTCTTGATGGAGACCAGCTGACAGTCCAGATGTCTGATGAGTCCCTGAGCAGATGAAGACGAGAGAGAGACGACGTCCTGCTGATTCAAAAACATTCCTCTAGGAGGACGTTTCTTCATCCGCTGAGACGCCTTACCACCTGTCTAAGAGACAGATAGGTACAGAGAGAGACAGATTACTATGACCTGATTGAGACAGACAGGTACAGGGAAAGAGAGACGGGTTATTACAGAGAGCTGAGGTGAAGCACGTATTCAGGTGATTTACCTTCAGTCCGGCTGCTGGTTTCACCTCTGACCTCTCTGATCCAGAACTCACCTGAAACCAGTTTCAAAAACCAGTCAGTCAACAGTAAACAGTCAGTAAACAGTGAACAGTCTGTAAACAATAAACAGTCAGTGAACAATAAACAGTGAACCAGTGAAAAGTCTTTGAACCTCCTTCTTGTCGTCTTTACTTTGGTCGAACTCCGAGTCACTCGGAGGATTTCTGTTTCCGTCTTCAACTTCATCGTCGCTGAAACACAAACAATTCATAGTTTAATCCAATCACATCGCAGAATTCACTTGTGACACTTCACACCTGTGCTGCCGAGTCCAGGATACCAGTACCTGAAGTGTGTCCTGCTGTGTTACTGATAGTGTTACCTATAATGTAAGCTGCAGTGTTACCTATAATGTTACCTGTGGAGTTACCTGTAGTGTTACCTGTGCAGGTAGCAGCTCACCTGTCATCTCGCTCTCTCTTGTGTTTCCGGGTCTGTCGGTCCATCAGACTGGTTTTACTGCGACTTTTCTTCCAGGAATAATAAAACCGAACCAGACTGGCCATCGACTTATCAGGTAACTACACAGAGAATATAAACCATGATTCTACAGCAGGATAAAACTACTGGTAACAGTGGTCAAACTGGTTATACTGGTGAGGTACCATCTGCTGGATGCGGTGGAAGCTCTTGCCGTGAAAGCTGAAGGCCTGTTCAAACAGCACTCTGTCCTCCACTGTCCACTCATCAGGAAACGGGGTGAAGTTCGGCAGATCAGCCAGAGACTTCTCGATGTTGTGTTTGTGCCAGAAGAGCATCCCCAGAGCCTGAAAGCCAGGTTATATTGGTTTATACTGGTTTACTGAACAGTGCCCTACTATTGGTGTGAAGGTTACAGCAGAGTTTGAGTAGAAAACTTTACCTGCTCCATGTTGTAGCCGTGTTTCTCTTTGGCGATGGCAATGTACTCGTCCACTGAAACAGAGACATCTGATATTAAACTTCACACTCAGGTTTTTTTCAGACACTTGTTGAGTTTGGACTGAGAGTGGTTCTTACACTGAGTCTGGTTCAGACAGCTGCTAGGGATCCAAACCAACATCCCCAGGTTTTCTCTGAGCTGAGCTGCCTGGGCCACTTCTGATGACACACAGAAACACACTATTCTCAGATAGACAAGAACCAGGACCAGTTCTTCTTTAGTGCTGACTCCAGAATAAAATCTGGTAAAAACAGACTCAGCTGGACCATAAAGTCTCACACAGAGCTAGAAACTATAGAAAAGCGCTGTCTGAAAAATTTAAACAGTACAGAACCACCAAGGTTCACCATAGAATCGGAATCAGTACGACACATGTTCTATAAACCTGGAACCATTATGAGAGCACCCGAGCCAGTATCATGCAGTGCGGTGTTTGAGTTGTTCGAGGCTACCACTACCGAGCTGTGTTTAGTCTCTTACCCGGGTCAAAATCCGGAACCACGGCCTGATATTGCGATCCGACCCGCATCCCTCCTCCACCTGCACACACAGCACACAGCAGTACTCAGCAGCGGTACTCCGGAGTACACGAAGTACACAGTAGTACTACAGTGGCCGAGGCTACCCACCATGCTCCTCGTCGCTGCTGGATCCTGAACTTCCTTCTTCCCAGCAGCTGTTTGTGCTGGTTCCATTACCGGACAGATTCTTTGCGCCGGGGTTCGCCGCTGCTCCGGGGCCGCTGCTGCCGCCGCCCGCCGGGGCTCTACCTCTCCTCTTTCCCGGAGCCTCCGGGTTTCTTTCCAGCATCGCCGGCATGAGGAGCACAGAGGCAGCCCGGGCTCAGTGCTAGCTGCTAACTCAGGCTAGCAGTTAGCTTGTTAGCTTAGCTGCCCTGCTAACTGAACCGAACCGGCTTACCAGCGTCGCTGAGCAAAGAGTCCGATCCGGACCGCAGTTGGGGGGTATGGTGGGTAGAGGTTCGGTCGGTGTGAAACAGAGACTCGGATGCGGGAATGTTCCGTGTGATGAAGCTGACAGAAGCTAAAGCTCCTCCGGCAGACAGATGCTAACTGTTAACCCGAGACCAAGACTTCACACCGAGGCAAAAAAGTTCCGGAACACGCAGCTGGAACCAGAAGAGACCAGATAAAACCAGACCGAGACCGAGCACAGACCCCGACACGACCACCGCTACCGATACAGAGTCAATACAACTGACACAACTGAGATCAAACCCTCTGAGGCTGATCGATCGATCAGAGCAGAGAGAGAGAGAGAGAGAGAGAGAGTGTGTGTGTGTGTGTGTGTGTGTGTGTGTGTGTGTGTGTGTCACATTAAGACATCATCAGACTGTTCACATATTAAACAGCTGATAGTACTACACATTAATCCTAGTTTATATGAATCAAGTTTGATCACGGAGTCTGCCTCTCTCCCAAACTCCAGAAATATACTTTTTTTTAAATCTCTCATATTAGGACAAGTCACCCAGAAAATCAGTTAATCAAAAATTAATCAGATTAATAATAATATAATAATAATAATCGATTACCCCCCCACCACCACCACCACCACCACCTTTAGTTAATGGTAGGCTAAGTAATAATAATGAGACAATAATGGCAGCTGTGGGTTGAGCAGGTTCAGGGGCAGTAGGTGGTCTGCAGTCACAGATCCAGACTGTCCAGGTCCAGAGGTCCAGAGACCTGCAGGAAGAAGACTCAGACATCTAAGTGTTATATTAATGCTGACACAGCTGCTTTCTTTAATGACATTAAATCAATTAATTTATTGATTACATTTATTGTGTGGCTGTGTCTCAGCAGGTAGAGCTGTCATCCATCAATCACAGGGTTGATGGTTCAATTCCCAAACAGCTCCTGATTGTCAGACAGGTAAAAAGTAAAATTGTGTGGTGTAGTGGTCTAAGCAGGCGCCCCATGTGTAGAGGCCACAGTCCTCGCTGCAGTCAGCCCCGGTTTGAGTCCCACATCGGACGGCCCTTGCTGCATGTCATTCCCCCTCTCTCTGCCTCCCCATTTCCTGTCTCTCTCTACTGCACTATCAAATAAAGGCATAAAAATATACTTTAAAAAAAAGTAAAATTCTGTGATAAAACACTTGTATAAAGTCATTTATGTCTAAAGGCACAGTTTCTGTCACTTTACTACATTTACTTTGAGCAGCACTTTGATCCCCATTGTAATCATCACGGGGGGAGTAGAGTAACACTTTTATTTTTTACTACACTTTATTACATTATCTCACTATAGGACATATTACATTATAATTATTTATATTATATTATAATATATAATAATAATAATGATAATATTAATTATCATTATTATTTAACCATTATTTAATTTATTATTTTATTAGTAGTTGTGTTTATCTGTCACTGCTGCTGATGTGAAGGTGATGATGATGATGATGATGGTGATGATGGTGAAGGTGATGATGATTGTGATGATGATGATCATGATGATGCTGATTGTATTGATGATGATGATGATGAAGGTAATGATGATGAAGATGAATGTAATGATGATGATGATGATGAAGGTAATGATGATGATGAAGGTGACAATGATGATGAAGATGAAGATAATGATGATGATGATGGTGATGATGGAGATGAAGGTGATGATGATGATGATGAAGGTGACGATGATGATGAAGATGAAGGTAATGATGATGATGATGATGAAGGTGACAATGATGATGAAGATAATGATGATGATGATGGTGATGATGGAGATGAAGGTGATGATGATGATGAAGGTGATAATGATGATGATGATGATGAAGGTGACGATGATGATGAAGATGAAGGTGACAATGATATTATAATACTTTATTTGTATAGCACCTTTCGTACAAGATATGTGGCACAAAGTGCTTTACAGCAAAGAAGTGACCTGCACCAAGTGCTTCACATTGAAATACATAAAACAGACATAAAAACATGTAAAAGCATTGATCTGAAAAGAAAAACATGAAATACATTAATTTAGGATGCAAAATTTCAGAGCTAGTAGAGGCTGAGGTGAAGAAATAAGTTTGTCCTGTGTGATGTCATCATGTACCATCAGTCCAGTCTGATGTCATCATATTCATATCCCTGAGCTTTGTGGTTTGCATTTCATTTCAATTACTTTTGTTTATTATTTTATTAGTAGTTTTCTTTAACTGTCACTGCTGGTGATGGTGAAGGTGATGATGATGATGATGATGATGATGATGATGATGATGATCATCATCATGATGAAGGTGATGATGATGATCATGATGATGCTGATTGTATTGATGATGATGATAATGATGAAGATGCAGGTAATGATGACGATGATGAAGATAATGATGATGATGATGATGATGAAGGTAATGATGATGAAGGTGAAAGTAATGATGATGATGGTGATGATGGAGATGAAGATGATGGTGATGATGATGAAAGTAATGATGATGAAGATGAAGGTAATGATGATGATGATGATGATGAAGGTGAAGATGATGACGATGATGATGAAGATGATGATGCAGATGAAGGTGAAAATGATGATGATGGTAGTAGTTACACTGAATGAACAGCAGGGGGAGCTCCTCATCATGTTATTATTCTGTAGATCTGACTGTAGATCAGCTGATTTATCTTCATCTGCCTGATGATGATGATGATGATGAAGGTAATGATGATGATGAAGGTGACGATGATGATGAAGATGATGGTGATGATGATGAAGGTGACGATGATGATGATGATGAAGGTGAAGATGATAACGATGATGATGAAGGTGATGGTGAAGATGATGATGATGATGATGGTGATGATGATGATGATGAAGGTAATGATGATGATGGTGATGATGATGAAGATGAAGGTAATGATGATGATGATGGAGAAGATGATGACGATGAAGGTGATGATGAAGATGAAGGTGATGGTGATGATGGAGATGAAGGTCAAGATGATGACGATGATGAAGATGATGGTGAAGATGATGATGATGATGAAGGTGACAATGATGATGAAGATGATGATGCAGATGATGATGATGGTAGTAGTTACACTGAATGAACAGCAGGGGGAGCTCCTCATCATGTTTTTATTCTGTAGATCAGCTGATTTATCTTCATCTGCCTGATGATGATGATGATTGACTAACGTCCCTGTGTCTGTTTTAAATGAAATCATTACATTGATCTTGAGTCATAAATTCTTCAGCTGCATTTTACTTAAACTATTGATTCTCATTGATTGATCTACTGATTTATCACCTGATTTATCCGATAATAGAAACAGAAACTCTAATTATTCATTTAAGGGAAAAAGCCGAATCTGGAACCATAAAATATTCATCGTCATCACCACCATCATCATCATCATTGTCATCATCATCATGAATACAATCATCATCATCAATGTAATCATCATCAACACAGTCATAACCATCATCACCATCATAATTACCATCATCGTCAGTACAATCATCAGCGCCACCACCATCATCATCATCAGCAGCACCACCACCACCATCATCATCATCATCAATATCATCATCATCACCATCATCATCATCATTACAATCATCATCATCAACATGATTTAGTATTTGCCAATGACTTGTTCACCAACTAATTAATTAGTCAATTGATTATTTCTAATCTGATTTGATCCTGTTGCGTTATTCACTTTATAAATATGAAAATACTTTATAAACTTAATGTTTTTAAAACTTTAACTTCATCTTTATATTTTCTTTATTAATTTTATTATATCCGTTGCTGTTGAGGAAAATGCATGTGTTAAACTCTGATGTTCAATACATGAAAAAAGTATTGATCTTTAAACATAGTCAGGACTCAGACTTGTGATCAGAGAAACTTCATCAAAAATAAACAGAAGGTATAAAAAGATTGAATCAGCTGATCAGTGTGTGTCACAGCAGCTGACTGTAAAGAAATCTGTGTCCTATTTACACCCTCCAACACACACACACACACACACACACACACACACACACAAACACAAACACACAAACATACAAACACACACATACACACACCACACATACAGACACATGCACACACACACTACACATATACACACACACCCTGCATGTTGTACAGTGATCATATATCAATAATCAATCATCAGTGATAATCAATATTGAGTTTAGTTCACACAGTTCATTGTGTCTCTGCAGCTCCTTAAAGGACGGTATGTTCACTATGTCAGACACTCGATCCCCCCCCCCACCCCGCTGAGCCGCCCTGCTCCTGTTCCCAAAACAAACATCCACACATGGATCTGAACAGCCGGAGTGGGGGTGGGGCGACAGATAGGGGGCGGGGCAGCAGAGAGGGGGCGGGGTGGAGTGAGGAGGGGCAGCAGCTATAAAAGTGTGCTGGAGCTGAGGACGGAGGTTTGACTGCAGACAATCTGGGACGTGTGATAGTTCAGTTTTAAAGCGTCTCCTGTTTCGTCCCTCAGGTGTCCTCAGGTGTCCTCAGGTGTGATGCCGTGGCTGCTGTCATCTCAGGTGGACCATGTGTCTTTGTCTCCGTCTCAGCGTCAGTGTGAGCGGACAGCATTCTCCTTCTACTGCGCGGTGCGGGAGCAGCTGCCGATCTGGTTGCTGGAGGACATGCGCAGCATGGAGGTCTTCTGCTGGGAGGATGGACACCCTCGAGCCTTCCTGCCGTCTGAGGCGCTGCTGTACGCACTCGTGCATGACCACCGGGACTATGCCAGTTACCTGCTCAACAGGTACTCTGTTAGCGCGCTCAGAGTGCTGCGATGCAGCTTCTGCTGCCGCAGTGGTGCACCACACCTGAACGTGGCGGTGCGTTACGACCGTGTGTCAATCCTTGGCACAATGGTGGAGACTCTGAAGGACTGCAACACGCAGAGTGAGCGGCGGGAGTTCTTGGATGCCTGTGGTGGCTGCTCGCATGTCACTGATGCTGGAAAGACGGCAGTGCAGCTGGCGGTGGAGCTGTCGCGTCCCGACTGTCTGTTGCTGCTGCTGGTTCACGGTGCCCAACCCGACGGACTCGATGTCGCGCTGCAGACGCTTGTCTCCTGCAATGTGTCGCAGCAGCGCGACGCGCAGCGCTGTCTCGACCTGCTGCTGCTGTTTCTGCCCAAACCGCCAACGCTGCGACACCTGCAGGAGGAGCCGCAGCGCTGGCAAAGCCTGCTGGGTAATGAAGTGTTCTGCTGGCTGTGTGGTCTGGCCCCACCCCCTCTCCTGCTACAGGCTCTCAGGTGTCTGGCCCGGTTCGGACCAGATCAGATCAGCACACTGCCCGACTTCCTGCAGCTGCACAGCTGGCAATGACATCATCTGTCAAACAGCTGAGGACTGCTGTGGATGGCTCGTTGATGATGTAAATATGATGTACATAAAGACTATAACAGATAATGTCAGCTGAAAACCTTATATCTCCGCTGTTCATTTAAAAAGACAGGCTTTAGTACCCTGGGGAGCAGCTGGAGATAGGAGTTTTTAACCTGACGGCGGCTCCTGCTGTAAATAATTTCAAAGATTCAGACACTGATCATTAATCAATTTAATTTGTGCTAATTTAATTGATTCTAAACCTTCAATCTAAAATGTTGTTTTACTGGTAAAGAGTTTCTGTTCTGTTCATTAATAATCAGTGATCTGAAGATGACGATTTGAAGACAGAGCTGTGTATGTGTGTGTGTGCGCATACGTGTGTGCGTGTGTGTGTGTGGGGGGGGTGTCCTGTCAAGAATATTTAAAGTATTAACAGTTAATGTTGATGTGATTGTTAAATGTGAATTAACATGTTTCTACCTCAGTGTCCTGATGTGACTGACGCACCTTGGAGGTAGTGTGTGTGTGCGCGCGTATGTGTGTGTATGTGTGTATATTTATTTATTTTCTGTCCTTCAGGCCTTTGATCTGTGACCATGTCGTGATACAAATAAAATAGAATTATGATTAAAAATAACTTTTTATTCTTCTTTATACACACACACACACACACACACACACACACACACACACACACACACACACACACACACACACACACACACACACACCTGGTGGATCCAGGCCTGAATGTAACTGATACTAATCAATAACTTGACACTGCTTCAGTGTTTCAACATGTTTATTAAGTTAATGAATGACATCACACAATAGGTGACTTCACACTGAATTCTTATTGGTCAGCAGTAGAACACCCAACCAATCAGCTGACAGCAGAATGACATCACAACAGAGTCACACCTGCTCAGGTTTCCATGGCGATCCGTGTTTTTTAGGGTTTAACTATAGATCCAGTTCAGGCCTCAGACCTGAACCTTGCTGCAGGTCCACAGTCCTCCACAGGTTTTGTTTTAGATCTCATTTCTCTAAACAACAAACAAACGTTTATTAAATTTACATTTTTACATGTTTTTCATGAATCAGTCCCGGTTTTTGGCAGTCCTGCCTGTTACCATGGTAACTGAGACAGAGACAGGTGGACAACTACCTGAGGCAACATTGCCCCTAGGAGGAAAACCAGTAACTTCAATCAGACAGCAGAAATGTAAACCAACACGTTAAATTCTGAGTCTGATGGTTCAGTCTGATCCAGTTTGGCCCCTGTCAGACTGGTCAGACCAGTCAGAGTCAGTGTGGGAAACCAGTTTAAACCAGTCTGATCTCCACAGAAAAATTACACCAAGTAAAAACTGAGTTAATGACCCCCCACTTCACCCTGTCCACACCCCCATCAAGTCCAGTCCAGTAATATGAAAGGTCCCTTTAATATCACAGCATCATGCAAACTCTGATCCCTGACACTAGTCTGAACCAGAGAGGACCAGTCTGACCACTGGAGTGAAATGTCCCTTCAACATTCTACAGTAGAACGAGACTGAACAGGATTAGAATGAAAGGGGGGCCAGTTCCAAAGAGTAGAAACTGTAGTAGGTGTTAGTGCACCCCCCCATAGTTAAAGTGCTTTCTGTTACAGTAAAAGAATAAAACTGAGTTCACTTAATTTCCCGGCAGCCACCTGGACTCTCTGTGACGGTCATCTTGTTTAAACTTTAAAGTCATGTGAAGTGATGTCACTGTGATGTCACAGTGTTCCATTAGCTAAATCCAGTTCAGGTGGATCAACACAAACCAGAGGTGACATCACAGTGATGTCACAGATCAGATGAGCTCCCATTCGTCATCTACATCGTCCCCGCTCAGGACAGGTCCTGAGGAGGAGGGTTTACAGGGAGTCTGTGGGAGGAGCTTCGTAAGCCGACGGGACAATCCACCAATCAGAGTCACCGCCCACAACTCGTCCTCCGGAGTCACTGAAGAGTGAGAGAGGGCGAGAGAGAGAGACACACATACACCCACCTGAGTCATCATGTTAATGTTATAATATCTCTCACCAGTATAACCAGTTGCACCAGTATAACCAGTCTCACCAGTTAACCAGTTGGCGGTTCCAGGGATCTTCTTCCAGTAGTCTCCTGCTGGGTTTCGTTCACAGACTCCATATCTTCGAGCCAAATCTCCGTTTACACATCGAACCCAGACAGTTCGACAGCTGAGGACCAGCTGACTGACTGCTAACCCTGCAGAGAGTGAGACAGGTGTGGAACAGACGGGTGAGAGACAGACAGGTGTGAGAAAGACAGGTGTGAGACAAACAGGTGTGTACCTGGCACTAGCTCCCAGTCTGTCCCTACAGGCATCTCATCACTGAGTCCAGTTCTGACGAAGACAGTTCCTCTGTTGTCCAATGCCCAGAGGAGATGATCGTTAGGACTCGTCTGAATACTGACCAGCTGCACTCCTATTGGCTGGAGAGAAATGATGTCACAGTTACCGAGACAGGTAACATACACCATGTAAGCTGGTTATCTGTGCATCCAGTGTGTTACCTGTACATGTGGTCCTATGTGGATCCAGTGTGTGTTACCTGTACAGGTGGTCCTATGTGGATCCAGTGTATGTTACCTGTACAGGTAGTCCTATGTGGATCCAGTGTGTGTTACCTGTACAGGTGGTTCTATGTGGATCCAGGCTGGCAGCATCATGCTCGGGTTCAGTGGTTGGGTTCCGACCCTGAAGTAAACAACTCCCCGCCCGTCGACAGCCCAGACGTTCTGGCTGCCACAGCTCACACTGACCAGACGAACACTTCCTGTAACACACAGGTGACATTTTACCTGAACACACCCTGGGTTAATGGGAAAGAGGTCTGAGACTTTTGGACCTTAAAACCAGAGAACTGACAGCTACACAAACTAACGGTTCTGTAAGGGGTTATAGTTGCCCGCTGATTGATTGGTGCACCTCTACTTAAAACATCCTCTGGGAACACTGGAACAACCTGAAGGAACCCTAGAACTTCAAACCCCTTCAGGCCCCGTAGAAACATCTCAACCTCAGACCTCCTCATCGTGGAACCTTCTCAAGGACCCCTTACACAAGCTGAAGTACTTGTAACAACTAAGCAACAATAAAACCAAGGGGCACCCTTGAACTCAAGGATCCTCAAAAGATCCACTGTACACAATTTCAATGGAGATTCTTCATGGACATCCTAACGCCCTTTTAGCTTGAACTACCCCTCCCCATGATCCACTAAAACCCACCCTCAGAAACCCCAGAAAGGTCGCACAGAACCTCTAAAGGGATTACTGGAAACCTCTCAATGACCCTGAACTGTCTCCCCTAAAATATCCTTGAAAACCCTAGCCCTAACCTCAATGTCCAACAGAACCTCTTCATGGATCACTGGAACCGTGTCCTCTGTGTATGTCCCTACCTTCACATATATTTAATGGTGTATCTCATAAACATTTCACTAGTGTTCTTTGATTCCATGAATTCACTAAATAAAGTTGTTGTTGTCTTCATTGTTTGATGTATACAACACAAACATTATTTGTGGTTCCACCACAGTCCTGGTGGAACGTGACCACGTCCTGTTTCAGAGCAGATTCCAGGTCAGTCTGTTTTTGGGAAACGGCCTCATATTTCAGATCTGGCTGACAGACCATCACACTGACCTTTGAATCCCTAAAGGCTTCAGTGACCTGCTGTAGCTGTCTATCATCTCTGACTGTGTGTTGTAAACAAAACATTTAATGAGTGGTACAACAAAATGCTAGTTCTCTGATGTCCTCTCAGTCTTCGGTGTCATGTGATGTCCTGACCAGCTGTCTGCAGGATCAACCTCTCTCACTAATAATTAGAAGATCTGCTGTAGGGATATTGAACTGTTGGCAGTTGGTCTTAGACCATACTATGTACCGAGGGAGTTCTCACACATCGCCGCCATTGTTATTTACATTTAACCACGAGCAGAGCCTGCAGTTGCGTGTGACGTCATTCACGAGACTGTTGCGAGAGTACAGACCCAGCACCCTGATGCATTCATTGCAATATCGGGGGATTTTAACCATGTCACTCTCACTTGACTGGCTTCACTCAGTATGATGACAGTCCCACAAGGGAAAATAAGACACTTGATCTGTTGTATGCAAATGTCAAGGAGGCCTACACTGCTTCAGCTCTACCACCACGTGGCAGATCAGATCATGGTTTTTCTTCAGTCTTCCAACAAGCCCTGTGTACTGAGGCAGGCTGCAACCAACCGCTCATTCAGGAACTGGATCCCGGAGGCCGGTGAGTGTCTAAAAGACTGTTTTGACTGCACAGATTGGAATGTACTGTTGGAGTCACAGGAAAATGATAAAAGCAAGGACCCTGACCTTGATAGAATGATTGAATGTAACATGGACTTACTAACATGGACATTAACTTCTGTATGGACACTGTAATACCAGCAAGGAAGGTACACTGCTTTCCAAACAACAAATCCTGGATCACCAGTAACATCATTTCCTCAACCAGAAAAAGGAGGCCTTCGGGGATGGAGACAGGGAGAAAGCTCAGGTGTGTGCAACATGAGCTGAAGAGGGGATTAAAGCAGGCGAAGGAGGACCACAAAAAGAAAGTAGAGAGGAAGCTGCAGCACAACAACACCAGAGAGGTATGGAAGGGGATGAGGACCATCACTGGCTATAAAGAGAAGAACAGCCAAGCAACATCAGGTGATGTGGACAAGGCCAATGAGTTCAACCTGTTCTACAACAGGTTTGACACAGGCTCACCTGTTCTCTCTCCTACTGCTTCAACTGCAGCTCCTTTACAACAGAGGAGGTGAGGGCGGAGATCAGGAGGCTACATCCTGGAAAGGCAACAGGCCCGGATGGTGTGTGTCCGAGGCTGTTAAAGGACTGTGCAGCCCAGCTGGCTGAGCCTCTCCAGAGGATTTTCAACTTAAGCCTACAAACAGGGAGGGTCCCGGTCCTTTGGAAAACATCATGTCTCCTTCTGGTCCCTAAAGTAGGATGACCGGCTGAGATAAATGACTACAGGCCCTCACATCACACTTCGTGAAGACCCTGGAGCGGCTGCTTCTCCACCTTCTGAGGTCACAGGTTGAACATGCACTAGACCTCCTACAGTTCGCCTACAAAGAACATATTGGAGTGGATGATGCCGTCCTTTACATGCTCCACTAGGCCCATTCTTACTTGGATGAGCCAGGTAGTTACATGAGGATTATGTTCTTTGATTTCTCAAATGCATTTAACAACATCCAACCCCCCATTCTTAAAGACAAGCTGGAGGGGATGGGGTTGGATCCCTGCTTCACATCCTGGATTGTGGATTACCCGACAAGACGACCACAGTATGTCAGGCTGGGTAACTGTGTCTCAGGGACACATTTATTGTGGCGTGTATCAGGAACGGGCAGGAAGAGGAGTACAGGGATCTGATGATGGCCTTCAGTGAATAGAGTGACAAGAACTGCCTCCTTCTGAACACCTCCAAGATCAAGGAGATGGTCATGGCCTTTCGGAGGTCTAGGTCCACCCCCTTCAGCCAGCCAACATTCGAGGGAAGGACACTGATGTGGTGCATACTTATAAATACCTAGGTGTGCACCTGGGCAGTAAACTGGACTGGTCCCTGAACACGGATGCCATCTACCTGAACGGGCAGAACCGGCTCTTTTTCCTCAGGAGGCTCAGGTCCTTTGACATCTGCAGTGTGCAGTCTGCAATGCTGCACATGTTTTATCAGTCAGTGGTGGCCAGTGTACTCTTTTATGCTGCAGTCTGCTGGGCAGCAGCATGTCTGACATGAACACAAAGAGACTGGACAAGCTGGTAAAAAAGGCTGGGTCTGTGCTTGGCAGGAGTCTGGACTCACTCAGGACTGTTGTGGAGAGACGCAAGCAATGTAAGATGGAGGCCATCTTGGACAATACCAACCATCTTCTCCAAAATGTTCTGGCAGGACAAAAAAGCAGCTACAGGTGCAGCAAAAATCTCATCTCACTGCGCTGCAGAACAGAGAGGTTCAGGAGATCCTTTGTTCCCATTGCCATCAGACTATACAACACCTCAGCCAAAGGAAGTGGACTGATCTAATTATTATTGTTTATTTATTATCAACTGTTATTATTATTATCATCATCAACAATGAGCTAATGGAAACATGAATTTCCCCTAGGGGATAAATAAAAGTATCTATCTATCTATCTATCTAATTATAATTAACATGAATCATCATGTTATAACATCACCAGGGTCGGGTTCTGATGGTGCCCTTTACATCCTGGTTCCTGGTTGGTAAAGTACCTGGATTCATTACCAAAGCTCTTATTGTAGGAAACAGTCTGGTAATGATATTTATGCGAAACGAGCCGCTGATGGACTCTGACATAGGCCCTGTTCAGACCTTTTCAGACTTTCAGACCTGTTCAGATCTGTTAAGTCCTGTTTAGACCTGGTATTAACATGTGTCTTCAGTGATCCAATCAGTGGTTAGCTCTGAGTTCGTCAGTTCACACTTGGATTTAAAATGTGTCTCATGTGACCACTTGTGGTCAGATCTCACTTTCTGCTTTATATGCAAATAAACATGTATGTGTTGTTGTTTTTAGCCAATCAGACAGAAGGGTCTGTTGTCAATGTGCCTGTGTGTGTGTGAGTGAGAGAGAGAAACAGACATGTGGTCTGTGATAGAGAGAAGGGCAGAGAAACTAAAAACAGATCTAACCCTATCAGTCAGGTTACAGTGTGACGCACACACACACACACACACACACACACACACACAAACTCCTTGTTGACCTCTGAATGACAGACCTGTTACACAACCTGAACTGTCAGTCAGTGACAGAGAAACACAGCTGTGTGTGTGTAATACCCCCCCCCCCAAAAAAAAAAGAAAAAAGAAAAAACAAACACACACTGACCAATCACATATCAGACCAATGGCGTTAACATGTTTTAAATGTGTATTAAACTAAGATGTGAACAGGTCTCTCAGTCCTTGTCCTGTGAAGCTTCAACAGTCTTTGTTCACATAATCATGCACCAGTACAACTCCACCCTTACAGCTCAGGTACATACCAAGCTGGCTGAGGTCCAGGAGGGTCCAGTGCAGTCCAGTGGGACAGGAAGGAGACAGTGTACGAATACTGACTCGACCATGAGTGTCCAAACCCCACAGAGCGTCACGGCATGCAGACAGGTGAGTCATCTCCACCTGAGCACACATGAGCATGAGCAGCACACACAGGTAGACCAGTAGAATCAGAGTCAGAAAGGAGACAGGTGTTCTTACCTCAGGTGGCAAAGGTACAGAGGAGGGGCGGAGCTCCCCATCCTGATCCCAAACACAAAACAGATCCTTCCTGCTCTGAGCCAACCACAGGAATGTACCTGAGAACACAGGATTGTTTCATGTGACATATGAAAGATGGGACGGGGACTCCAGGTGGGGAATGACAAGCACCTGAATGAGCACTGGGGAAAGTATGAGGACCAGACAGAGACTGAGTACAGGTGTGCCAAGCTGTGTTACCTTCTCTATGAGGCACAGCTGAAGATGTGATGAAGGTCCACCTGGTGGCTGAGACGGTTCCTCTTGGAACGACGTTCTGCCAGAAAGTTCCTAAAGGAACCGAACACAAACAGCCCTGAAAAACTGAAAACTCTGCTGGACTCTGCTAGACTCTATGGAATTCTACTGGACTCTAGAGGACTATACTGGACTCCGCTGGACTTTGCAGGACTCTGATGGACTCTACAGGAATCTGCTGGACTCTGTTTGGCTCTACTGGACTCTACAGGACTCTATTGGACTCTACAGGACTCTATTGGACTCTACAGGACTCTACAGGACTCTGCTGGACTCTGCTGGACTTTGCTGGACTCTACTGACCCACGAGGCTGCCACGGGCCAGGTGCAGCTGGTTCCGTCCAGATGCGACCCAGACTCCGCTGGTGTTGGCGCTGACTAGGCTAGGCTGGCACTGCGAGTACTGAGACAGGAAGGCCACCACACGCTCCACTGGCGCCCTCGTTACTGTGGCAACACTCTGCGTTGCCTGCAGCAGCGTCTGGAACAGACTACCCTGATCGAAGACCACATAGTCCGAAATACTGATCTGATGGAGAGACAGAGACAGACAGAGACAGGCTGCTGAGCTGAGACCAAACAGGACAGAGTCCAGGTGAGGCGTCTCTTTACCTGCCACCAGTGGTCGTCCTCTCCCTGTGGTCTGGACGAACAGATCCCGGTCCTGAACCACAGGCTGCCGCTGGCGTCCAGAGCCCAGGCCGTCCCTCCGTCTCCCAGGGTGACGCACATCAGCTCCAGACCCTGAGCCTCACTGAGAGACAGAGACATAGACTGAGGACAAGTCTCTGATGCTGCTTCTCAGACTCTGTGTTCTTCTAATGAATGTAGTCTGACACACAAGAACACCACAGTCCACCACAGTCCAGTCCAGTCCACCACAGTCCAGACTGTTCTGGTCTGTGGTTCCTCAATGGTGGAACCAGATACTGAATTCTATCATAGACCACCTTCTCTGCTATCACCTCCTCAACTGACACCTCCTCTTCTGACATCTTCTCTGCTAACACCTCCTCTGCTAACATTTCCTTTCCCAACAACTCCTCTGCTAACATCTCCTCTGCTATCACCTCCTCAATTGACACCTCCTCAACTGAAACCTTCTCTGCTAACACCTCCTCTGCTAACATCTCCTCTCCCAACACCTCTGCTAACATCTCCTCTGCTATCACCTCCTCAATTGACATCTCCTCTCCCAACACCTCTGCTAACACCTCCTCTGCTAACACCTCCTATCCTGACATCTCCTCTCCCAACACCTCTGCTAACACCTCCTCAATTGACACCTCCTTTTCTGACACCTTCTCTGCTAACATCTCCTCTCCTGACATCTCCTCTCCCAACACCTCTGCTAACACCTCCTCTGCTAACACCTCCTATCCTGACATCTCCTCTCCCAACACCTCTGCTAACACCTCCTCAATTGACACCTCCTTTTCTGACACCTTCTCTGCTAACATCTCCTCTCCTGACATCTCCTCTCCTGACATCTCCTCTCCCAACCCCTCCTCTGCTAACACCTCCTCTGCTAACACTTCCTCTCCTAACGCCTTCACTGCTAACACCTCCTCTCCTGACATCTCCTCTCCCAACAACTCCTCTGCTAACATCTCCTGTCCCAACACTTCTGCTAACACCTCCTCTGCTAACACCTCCTCTGCTAACATCTCCTCTCCCAACAACTCCTCTGCTAACATCTCCTCTGCTATCACCTCCTCAACTGACACCTACTTTCCTGACACCTTCTCTGCTAACACCTCCTCTCCTGACATCTCCTCTCCCAATTACAAAGTAGATAATATTTTACATGACTCTGGGTAAAAGGGGATGTGACCTGAAACTATTCTGAGTGGCTGAGGTGGTTCTAGTTTCTTAATATAAATGTTACATGCACACCTCCTTGTTCTGGTGTCCAGAGCCCTGGTGCCCTGAATTACTGGCTCACTCATTAAGAAGTAGCTTATGTTCCGGTCTGTGAGCCTGAGTGCGGTGTACTGTGTGGTTGTTGGTGCAGTAGTACAGTAGTAGTACAGTAGCAGTACCTGACGGTGTCGTACTTCCAGCCCTCTCCCTCGCTGCAGTAGCTGTTCAGTCCTTCTCTGTAGAACAAAGCCTTGTGTTCGCTCAGAGCCCAGACCACACCCCCTCTCACACACACCTGGCTGAACACACAGGGCGAGTCCACCTTCACTGAGCGGGCGCAGGGACGCTCCACGCTCAAACCTGATGAACAGAGACAGTGGTTACTGTGGCAACGGCACACACGGCTCCTCCACCACCTGCAGGGCTGTTGCCAGGTCTGATGGGATTCACCACTGAGAATGTTCTGGTTTCAAAATGTTCTTTTTCAACAAAATAAACCACGTCTGAAAAACCACATAAGAAGAGAGTAAATCAGTTTCTAACTAACAGGCAGACAGGTCACCTAGAGAGCCTCCTCATTAGTAATGAGTAATCCTCATCCAGGATTCAACCAATAACAGTAGACAACACCTGGTCGCTCTGAATCCACCCGTTTCTTGTAACACAATCATTCAATAGGACAGGTAGGTGGTTACCTGTCTGCAGGTAGAGGTCACCGTTGGTCCTGATGATCCATGCGGAGTCGTCACTCAGAGCAACGAAGGCCGTTTGCTCCACAGCTTTGTACCAATGACGTTTTCCTTTAACCGACACTTTGGCACAAGCAAACGCCGTCATGCTCTTCTGCTCCACCTTCCACAGCAGGTTACCTGATGGAGTTAGCAACAATTAGCATCCAGCTAATGCTACATAAACCTGTACATACACCTGTGCACCTGACAGCTGCTGCCTGCTTTAATCAACCAGGTGTTTTAACCAGAAGCTGCTGATTAACTTTGACCTCAGTCATTAACAACAGATTAATTACAACAGGTGGGCAGAAGATCGGTCAGGTGTGATGTTAGCAGCTCACCTGAAGGTGATAATGCCACCTGGTGGACATTGTCTTCAAAGCGCTGCCAACTGAGTCCAGTTTCAGGTAGAGCACTGCAGAACAGTCCCCCTTTGAAGTCCAGACACCAGACATACCTGAAACACACAGGTCACCTGTAAGACACCTGCTGAAAACCTGTCAGCCAACTGATCACTGTCCTACTTTTAACTCCACACACCACACACACACCTGAAACACACAGGTCACCTGACAGATACCTGCCGACTCACCTGTCAGTCACCTGCAGGCTCAGTATTCCACATCCGGGTCCTGAGTACCCCATCCAGCTCTCTGCCAACTACAACGCATAAAGACAAAATTATATTAAATCCTGCTGAGAGTTTCACCTGGTTGGGTTGATGTCTGTCTCACCTGGTCTGGTTTGTGTGTGTCTCAACTGGTCTGGTTTGTGTGTCTCACCTGGTCTGGTTTGTGTGAGTCTCACCTTAACCAGTTTGTGTGTGTCTCACCTGGTCTGTTTTGTGTGTGCCTCACCTGGTCTGGTTTGTGTGTGCCTCACCTGGTCTGGCTTGTGTCTGTCTCACCTGGTCTGGTTTGTGTGTGCCTCACCTGGTCTGGCTTGTGTCTGTCTCACCTGGTCTGTTTTGTGTCTGTCTCTGTCCTGAGGGTCCTGGTCCTTCTGTCTGTCTGTTGTTGTCTCTCCCTGATTGGATGGACAGGTGTGGACATCCCCTCCCCCTCCCGCAGCAGGCAGAGTGTGACAGTAGATGTCTCCCTCTTCATCACTGGACATACTAGGTTCTTTGTCCAGAGAGGACACGGTGGAGAAAAACATCTGGTCTGCCAGACGAGCAGGGGGCACCAGGTTGTCGTCCTGTACACAAACATAGAGACGTTTAGTTCCAGATGTGTGAACCTGTTTGGGTTTTTCTGACAGACCACGATTGTGGTTCCAGATGTCCTGTAAGGGTCCAGGTCTGACAGAAACACATTCTTAAATGGATCTAGTGATATTAGATCTTTCAATGTCTGTCTGTCCATGAAACTGTTTATCATCTGTCTCTCTGTCTGTTTGTCTGTCAGTCAGTCTCCCTGTCTCTCTCTCTCTGTCTGTTTGTCTCAATCAACACACCTCCTCCTCCTCCTCCGGTCCAATCAGAGGGCTCAGAAACTCGTTCTCTTGCTCCTTCATTGGCTGCTGCTCCTGTCCATCATCTTCCTCAGTGTTGTGCATGTAGGAGAAGGTGCACTCCAGCAGCAGATCTACATCAGGGGTTGGAGGGACGACTTCCTCTGGACCAGATGACTTTCCTGGGATCTGTTTGTTCTCAAGACCCTGGAGGAACAAGGATACTGGAGGGAGGAGGGAGCTGGGATAAGAAAACAAGGATGAGAGAGATGAGTCAACAGGAGACAAGGATGACACACAATTATACTGGGGCTGATGTCACAAAATTGCAGAGCACAATATTCAAATCACAAGAGCTGTGATGTTTTAGCTAAAGGTCACACAACAGCAAACCATGTTCTACAGACGTGAAGGAACATGTTGTTCTACAGACATGAAGGAACATGTTGTTCTACAGACGTGAAGGAACATGTTCTACAGACATGAAGGAACATGTTCTACAGACGTGAAGGAACATGTTCTTCTAGAGATGTGAAGGAACATGTTCTTCAGACGTGAAGGAACATGTTTTACAGACATGAAGGAACATGTTGTTCTACAGACGTGAAGGAACATGTTGTTCTACAGACGTGAAGGAACATGTTGTTCTACAGACGTGAAGGAACATGTTTTACAGACATGAAGGAACATGTTGTTCTACAGACGTGAAGGAACATGTTCTTCAGACGTGAAGGAACATGTTGTTCTACAGACATTAAGTAACATGTTGTTCTACAGACACGAAGGAACATGTTTTACAGACATGAAGGAACATGTTCTACAGAAGTGAAGGAACATGTTCTTCAGACGTGAAGGAACATGTTGTTCTACAGACGTGAAGGAACATGTTGTTCTACAGACGTGAAGGAACATGTTGTTCTACAGACATGAAGGAACATGTTCTACAGACATGAAGGAACATGTTGTTCTTCAGAAATGAAGGAACATGTTGTTCTACAGACGTGAAGGAACATGTTCTACAGAAGTGAAGGAACATGTTCTTCAGACGTGAAGGAACATGTTCTACAGACGTGAAGGAACATGTTCTTCAGACGTGAATGAACATGTTGTTCTACAGACATGAAGGAACATGTTCTACAGACATGAAGGAACATGTTGTTCTTCATAAATGAAGGAACATGTTGTTCTACAGACGTGAAGGAACATGTTCTACAGTCATGAAGGAACATGTTCTTCAGACATGAAGGAACATGTTGTTCTACAGACGTGAAGGAACATGTTGTTCTACAGACATGAAGGAACATGTTCTACAGACATGAAGGAACATGTTGTTCTACAGATATGAAGGAACATGTTCTTCAGAAATGAAGGAACATGTTGTTCTTCAGAAATGAAGGAACATGTTGTTCTACAGACGTGAAGGAACATGTTCTACAGAAACGAAGGAACATGTTGTTCTACAGACATGAAGGAACATGTTCTACAGAAGTGAAGGAACATGTTCTACAGACGTGAAGGAACATGTTCTTCAGACGTGAATGAACATGTTGTTCTACAGACATGAAGGAACATGTTCTACAGACATGAAGGAACATGTTGCTCTACAGAAATGAAGGAACATATTTGTTTGGAACAGACCACACAAATCATCACCATCATCATCTTAAATCTTTTCAGTGAAAATGAAATGAAGAAACGACTCATCACAATATCTGCTGGTGTTCAGACTAACCCAGACTCCATGTCCTCTCCATCCTTTACACCTCCGTCTGAACCTCCTCCTCCCCCTTCCTGTGAATCCTGGTCCTGCTCTGGAGACTCCTGGTTCTGAAGGTCCAGCCCAATGAGGGAGGCTCGGTCGCTCAGAGGAGTTCCACTTCCTCCATCACTACAGCTGCCGTCCTGGACTACAAACATGGAGTCTGAGCAGCTGCTCTCAGAGAGACGGGTCACACTGCTGCTGTCTGAGGAGGGACAGGGAGACACAAGACAACTAGTTATGAGGTCTGTCTGTCTGCCTCTCTCTATATCTGTCTGTCTGCCTGTCTCTCAGTCTGTTTGTCCATCTGTCTCTCTAAATCTGTCTATCTCTCAATCTGTCTGTAAATGGTAAATGGACAAAGCCCTTATAAAATACTTGCCAGATTTACTTACACATTCATACATCACATCCATACACACACTCATTCACTGATGGAACAACCATCAGGGGGAATGTGGGGTTCAGTATCTTGCCCAAGGGCACAGCGACACACAGCCTAGAGGAGCTGGGGATCGAACCACGACCTGCTCTACCTCCTGAGCCACAGCTGCCACTGTCTGTCTCACTCTCAATCTGTCTGTTTTGCTCTCATTCTGTCTGTCTCACTCCCATTCTGTCTGTCTGTCTCTCTCTCTGTCTGTCTCACTCTGATACTGTCTGTCTTGCTCTCATTCTGTCTGTCCATCTACTCACCTTGTCGTCTCCTCTTCTTTTTCTTCACTCTGACAGCTTTCACCACCAGCTCCTGTTGCATCTCCTCCTGACCCAGGGGGGCGCTGTAGCGTCTAGAGCTGAGCTCACAGAATGTGGTCATCGGGGCATTTCCTTGGAGACTGTCCCAGGAAGTGACTGAGCTGCTTCGACTACGAGAGCTGCTGGTGAGCAAACCAGACCGCTGGCAGAGTTGCTCCATCACCTGCACCAACATAGAGTTTGTTTAGATACAGAGACATATACCAACATTCACTAAAGTGAGATAACGTGTCAACCAGTTACGTCAACCATTTTACAAGTCAACCAACCTACCAGTCTGTAAGTCAATCAGTCATGTCAACCAACCAGTCTATAAGTGAACCGGTTAACCAACCAGTCACATCAACCAGTCAACCAGTCACATCAACCAGTTAACCAGTCAACCAACCAGTTAACAAGTCTGTAAGTCAACCAACCAGTCTATAAGTCAACCTGTCAACCAGCCAGTCAACCAACCAATCTCTAAGTCAACCAGTCATGCTAACTAGTCAACCAAACACTCACGTCAACCAGTTAACCGGTCAACCAACCACACTGTAAGTCTACCAGTTAACTAGACATGGTCAGTCATTGAAGACTGAGTGTCAACTGCAACTGTCTCTCATGGTAACGTAGTTGTATGTTGGAGTGCACAGACAGCAGCTTTATGACTGGGGTCCAATTCATGACGAGAAAGCACTTTTTTACAGCTGGTGGCAGATAGCAGCTTCCTCGAGCACACTGTGCAGAAACAAGTGCCCAGCTCCTTCACGCCGCTGGATCCTACACTACTAGTGTTACCAAGACCCGCCCCGCTCTGCTTCTGATTGGCTAGTAAAGTTGGTTAGCTTCAGTATCTGGTTAGGTTGAGAGCAAGAGCTGTGTTCCTCTCATACAATTGGTCGGTGAACTTTATTACCTCAAACATGATAAACCGTATCCATAACAAGTGTATTGACTTTTAATTTTTTCATTTATTCTCTCCCAGCATTGAGCGGGAGATCCGACACGATGCCGGAATACTTTAAGCCCTGCAGTCTAGAACACGTCAACCAGTTAACAGGTCTGGAAGTCAACACATCAACAAGTTAACCACTCTGGAAGTCAACCAGTTAACCAGCCTGGAAGTCGACACGTCAACCAGTTAACCAGTCTGGAAGTCAACACATCAACCAGTTAACCAGTCTGGAAGTCAACCAGTTAGCCAGCTGTCAGTCACCTCCAGCTGCTCCTCCTGCTCCTCTGCCTCCTCCACTTCCTCCGCTTCCTCTTTCTCTCCCTCATCACTGAGTCCCTTCCCTCCTCCTCCTCTCTCCTCCCTCCCCCCACCCTCTACAATGATGGCCATGGTTCTGATTGGCTGAGCTGTTTCTACTGATCCGGTTGGTGGGAGGATGGTGGGCGCGGTCAAAGGTGAGGACAGACGGATGGAGAGCTCCGACACTGAAGAGGATAATCAAACAGATTGAAAAACATTTAGACAAAGACCAGTTTGGTAATCAGATTTAACAAGCTGTCAGTCAACAAGTGTTGTCGGGAGTGGGGGGCGTACAGCAGTGGTACTTGAGGGTGGGTCCAGTCCCTCAGAGGAGGGCTGTTCCACATGTTTAAGTATTTATCTATTAGCAGTAGTATTTTTAGCAGGAAGATCAGGGTGAGAATAGTAGTAGCAGCACTGATACTATCACTACTGGTCAAGTATTAGTACTGATACTATCACTACTGGTAGAAGTATTAGTAGTAGCACTATTCACAGTTGGAGGCCAGTCCCTCTGGGCTGTTGGAGAGGCGGATGATGTCTCTGTCTCCTTTCAGGATAAAGATCTCGTTGTCACAACACGACACTGATACGATGTCTCCACTGCTCTCCAAGGCTCCGATTATCACCTGAACACATCAAATACAAAACTGATCAGATATCAAACATCAACATTTACACAGCGTCAACAGTCTGCAAAAGGCTGCAGTGAAGGTCTGGCAGAGCATCATCAGAGCAGTACACCAAGTGTCTGCTATGTCACTTCAGGCAGACATTGACTGTAAGGCTGAGACTTGGCACTTTAACGTAGAATCCATTACTTAATTTCAAAGTGATGAAGCTCAGAGCCTGAAGAAAAACAACTGTTCAAATACTTAGACTGTAGATGCTGCAGTCACAGAGTACACAGTATCACCAGTACCTCACTGACACAGTCCAAGACGTAGAGGCTGTATTCGTTCCAGCTGAGGATCCAGCCCTCTCTGAGGAAACAGCAGAGCAGACCCAGCTGTCTGTCTGCTGGACGGAACGCACCAGTTGGACCAGGACGAGGAAACAACTCAAACTGAGGAACCTGACAGAGAAAGACAGACAGGTGAGAGCTAGACAGGTAACACAGAGAATTCTAGAGGTAGACAGACAGATGTACAGGTAGACAGACAGACGATCCAAAACTGATGCGAAAAACAAATGTGTTGCCGTAACGGACACTAGCAGCCAAAGCTCCCACAGCCCACGCACCAAAGCACCGCTGCAGCTCCGTCCCACCAACTGCCTTGCCAGAACTTAATAAGTCCCACCTAGACTTCACGTGCTACTGATGGTGGGTATTTAAGCAACCAAACTTTGGCGACCCCACCTGCAGCCACAGATGTGCACCTGAGACAAGTGCTCCAGCCACTTTCGTCACCACACCATCAGAGCCCCCAGCGAACTCCAAAGGGAATCCGCCCTTAAGCCTAACAGGGACAGAACAACTGCAATTTACAAAGAGCGTGCACAGGACCAAAGCTTAACACCACAAAACTGACCAGCTAACTTAGCACGTTGACACAAACATTTTCCCAGAACAAACCAGCGACCAGAATTCATTACAGCTGCTTAACTTAACCCTAAACAGAACAGCCAACTTACCACACTCGTCTGTGTCTACTCAACAGACTGTGCACTCATTCACAAAAACGTTGCACTTGAGCTCCAACCGAGTGTCATGTCCTTCCGACACTACAACTCCTGCTTTCACGTTTCATTCACAAAACTGCCAGACTCCGCCCATCATGCCATTCAACAGCAGAGACACCTGAACTGCACTAATCAAAACTTGACTCAAACAAGGTCAAGCCCCAATTTGTCACAGCCTGGCTCAACAGCTACACAACCAGAAAGGGGAGACAACACGAGTTGACATATAAAGTTCAAATAACTTATTTACAAAAAGGAAAATGAGGTTTAGGCTGACCAAAAACTTAGAAACAATGAACAAAAGAAAGGCCACAGCGGCCATCAGATCTGCTGGGAGCGCAGGATCGTCGACGACACCGACAGCCAGAGAGAGAGCCACACACAGGACTGAATGGGGACATCTTAATGGTGCACACCTAGCCCAGGTGTAGCACATCAGGCTGATCCTGGTCCCTGCATTCAAACAACAAAAAGGAATAGGGACACCTTGTGCCCAGGTGGAGGGGTCGTCACACAGGTGTACAGGTAGCAGTAACAGAAATTAATGTGTTAACAGTCGGACGCTAACCCAGAGACAATGACACTCATGAAATAAGTGGTGGACCAGCTGCTCATGCTGAACCCTGCAGAACCTGTTCACCACCACAGTCTGTGAGAACCACTTCACATCTGAGCTGCTGCTTCACTGTAGAGCTGAGCTCCACATGTCCTGCTCTCTCACACGTGTGCGGGCTGTGTTTGTGTGCTGTGTGTGTGTGCTGTGTGTGTGTGCTGTGTGTGTGCATGTGCTGCATGTGTGTGCTGCGCGTGACACTACACTATAGTAGCTCAACCCTCCCTCAATTCTGTAAGTGATGAAAACTAAACAATGATTATTGTGTTTACATTTCACATCACATGACTGCTTTGTTGAGGTTAGCAGTATGTTCCCAGTGTACCTGTGTGTTGAAGAGTGGTTTGAGCAGCCGGGTGTCCTCCACCTGTCCTCTGACGTCAGACCTCCACAGTCTGAGTCCAGGTCGAGCAGCAAACACCTGAAGATCACTCTGTTTACACAGAGCTGGCAGGAAGCAGGCCCCGAACCTCCCACTGCTGTAAACAACAACAAATACTGTAAACAACCAGCACAAATACCATAAACAACAACAAACACTGCAAATAACAAGCACAAACACTGTAAACAACAAATACTGTAAACAAGCGCAAATACCATAATCAACAAACACTGTAAACAACAACTACTGTAAACAACAAGCACAAATACTGCATTTTGTATATTACCTGTATGTTATATCACAGGTGTGTTGTACAGTACAGCTATGTTTTTATCACAGGTGTGTTGTACAGGTGTGTCAGGTGTTGTACCTCTTGCGGGGCTTGGTGCCCAGCTGCTGGACTTCCTGTGTCTGTGTGCAGTAGAGCAGAGATCTCTGCTGTGTTGAGACCAGCAGCACCTGGTGACTGTACTCCATCTGGACCACACCTGAGGACTCCTCTAATAGCAGCACAGGTTTACACACACCCTGTATACACACACAGGTAAACACACACACAGCAGAAAATGAATCACAGTTTTTCCACACTTCCATTTTCCAGCTGTTATTTAAATATACATGATTCAGTGTTTGTGAAATTATAAACACCTGGAGATTTTAAAAACAACCAGTCTGCCTGTCTCCTGTCTGACAGCAGTGCACCGTCCTACTTCCTGCAGTACAGTGTTGTCATGGTGAAGATCAGAGGGTGTAGTGATACAGTTTGTACAGTGTTTGATTAACTTCACTGATGCAGGGAAGATGAAGGTCACCAGGTTCTTCACCTGGATTCATTTAAGACCCTCTGATGAAAACACATTGTTTAACCTTGTTAACGTCCATATGATGTTTTTATATAATAGAGAAATATGATGTTTTTATATAACACAGACATATGTCAACACCATGACTGAGTGTTTCCTTGAACTGCAGTGAACCAATGACTCATAAAAACAGATTCAGACATCCAGGGTTTCATACGTCACAAAACTAAGGAACCAATCCTGTCAACTCGTGGGGCTAAATACACCTGAAACCTTGTCAGTAGATGAACTAAATATGAATCATAGCAGAGGATTAAAACATGGAGAGGAATTTAAAACAGAAACGTATCAACAGACGTTTTATAGACAAAATGATGAATGAGAAAATAATTGTATATGAACTCATAGCTGTTAGAGTTGTGTTATCAGTGTAGAGGTATCCCACCTGGTCCAGATCCAGAGCTGTGAAGACGACTCGTCCTTTATCGTCTCCAGAGAACAGTTTCATCCCGTTGGTGCTCCACGCCAACGACGTCACCGAACCTTTGTGAAGCCCGACCACATCGAAACGCCTCAACTACAGACAGACAGGCAGAGACAGACGGGTTACACTTGCTGAGAGAGAGACAAGTTACACTTACAGAGAGAGAGACAGGTTACAAGTTGACCTGTCTGAAACACACCTCTGGACTTTCTCACCTGTTTGTTGCGTCCTGGAAGTGGAGACACCAGGTGGAAGACTGCAACCCGACCTGAAGCTGTTCCCACGGCAACCAGATCATCAAAACAGCTGAGCAGCTTCACAGCTGTGATCGCATCATACTTTCCCTGCCACACACACACACACACACACACACACACACACACACACACACACACACACACACACACACACACACACACACTTCACTTATTGATCAGCTCAGTTTACTAATAGATCAATAGTGCCCTCTGCTGGTCCACAGGCTGAACCTTTACTGTTTGGCTGAAGTTTGAAATAACAGGGGACATAGGACACTCCTGTCCCCAGTTGGACCTCCTACAATAACAGACTGAGCACCACAAAAGAGGAAGAGCTCTGACCTCCAGACTGTACTTGTTCATGTGTGCCAGGCGGCGACAGTACAGGTAGAGCATGCCGATGCTGCTGCCCACTGCCAGGAAGTCACTGCTGCTGTCCAGAGCTGTCAGGTAGACCAGGACAGACCTGAACCCACGCTGGACCTGCACAGAGAACATCATCATCACCACGTCACAGTTCATGAGTGATGTCACACTTGGTGTCGACAGGTAAAAGGTGGGTAAGAGAAAACTGAAGAGATGAACCTGGGGTCCAAGTGGGAGCCTGACTGATACAGGGTTTAATTTTAAAGATCTGATAATATCAATTTGTTTAACAGAAACATTTTGAAAGTTACATTTAGTTACTGAAGGGAGTGACTGACTCACACTCATGTTACAGGTCTAATAATCCTTCTAACACCTGTGCAGTCCAGCTGTTTGAAGTGATGGTCAGACATTAGCCATAACATATATATATACATATATATATACACATACATATATATATNTCCAAGTGGGAGCCTGACTGATACAGGGTTTAATTTTAAAGATCTGATAATATCAATTTGTTTAACAGAAACATTTTGAAAGTTACATTTAGTTACTGAAGGGAGTGACTGACTCACACTCATGTTACAGGTCTAATAATCCTTCTAACACCTGTGCAGTCCAGCTGTTTGAAGTGATGGTCAGACATTAGCCATAACATATATATATACATATATATATACACATACATATATATATATATATACACACACACACACACACATATATATATATATATATGTGTGTGTGTGTGTGTGTGTGTGTGTGTGTGTGTGTGTGTGTGTGTGTGTGTGTGGGTGTATGTGTGTGCGTGTGTATTATGGCTGAATCTAGTCCGGCCCCTTGCTGCATTTGCTGTCTTTCTTGTTCTGTGAATATATTGTTTACATTTCACCTCTTACTGAATTTACCTGCAGGTTTCACTCTTTCATCTCATTCTAATCACTTCATTCATGGTTCTGATGAAGTTGCTTGTCATTAACAATTCACTCAACCTTTCACATGAACTCAGTCAAGCCAAGTCAGTAAACCTGGAGTCAACAGAACCAGGTGATCCGGGTGATCCCGACTGAGCTGAACTCACTTTGTGGTCCAGGCCTCATGTTGTAAAAGTAACAAAATGACTGTTGTGTTGTAGTCGTTGACAGCTGGCCGAGGTTCTGGCCTGGTTTGGATATGTTCGGTACCTTGGCTGGGATTGCATTCAGCAGGTAATAGAGCGGGCAGAACTCTCTCAAGACCGATGGCGGGGTGGGCTGGGTTGTCATGTTTCTGCTGAAGTGGACTCAAAGTGATCCTGAAAGTCAGTTCAAAACCTCAACTTAGAAACATGTCAAATTTAGAGAATCACACCACAGAACCACAGCCATCAAACGCTCCAGTTCCCATTCAGCTGCATGAACTCTGAACCAAACAAACGTTACAAAAACCTTGGATTTTGCTGTTCAGACAGTAGGATACAGGTAAAACAAAGCATAACGAGTCGTCGGGATTTACTTAAGATTAACACCACGAAGAATACAATAGAATTTAGAGTTTATTATTAATTTGGACTTTCTTTTGTAATATTCTCCCCTGACCAGGACCGAGCAGTGCGGTAACTAACAGCATGAACGAGCACAAACAGCTGAGATTTAACCTCATTCAAACGCTGTTTCGTGAACCATATATGCGCCGAATTAAAGTGAACGGTTTACCAAATGCTTTGAGATTTTCTTTTGCGGAGAGTATATTTAGGTGTTAGGCTTAAATGAAGAGACAGACTAAATTGACAATGAGATTAATGAAGTTTGGTGTGAAGAACTCCCATGAATATAATGTCTCCCGATCGGATGGCTGGAACTCTGCACCAAACTCGGTTAAAAAAATCAGCAGTTTGCGGTGTCCATGCTCATAGTCTGACAACATGGATGACTGTAAAAAGAGGACGTTTAGATTCGTGGGGATTCATTTAAGTTAACGATATTAAGCATTTTACAACGATACAAGTTCAAATTTTATGATTTATCTGCAGTTTCTCCTGCACTAATCTCCCCGTAGAAGAGTGACAGAGGGCGGTAACATAGCGCGTGAACAGGGGTAAACAGCTGATATTTAACATACTTCAAACACTGTTTGGTGGAACAGACATTCACCGAATTAAACGGAATATTTTGCCGGAGTGTAAGAAATCTTAAAGAATGCTTAGCGGTGGATGTGTTTTCGCCCAAATTGAAAGAAATACTAAATTGGGTAACTGTTCAGCGGAGCTTGGTGTGACGCTGTCTGTGCAAGAGACTACGGCACCGGTTCACGTTAACGCAACAGACTGTTCTGAAAAACGACAGGTGACTTTAAACAGTATAATTTCAAAAACAAAAAACAAAAACAAATATCATGCTGTTCACGGAACTAGCTTCTTATACACCGAATCCAGGCTAGCTAGCATCATATGAGACCTGCTAACTTACTGTTAGCAGGTCTCATGAGGAGGACCGTGAGCCACTTACTGAAATTCACGGTGCAGGATCCCGTCAGATGTAGTTCCAGATGTTTCTATTCCAGCTGGATATCAAATGGTTGACGGGTAACATCGCCCTGACTGGTTTCATACTGATGCTGAGCTGCAGTTAACAAACTGCGCCACCTGTCGTTAACACATAGAATTATAACTTGAACATCTGACTTCTTGTTATGTTTTAATGTATTTTCTGTTTTTTATTCTCTTCCTACATTAAAACTCGTGCTCTCTGTTCTTCATACTGACTCCAGTTTCTTAGTTAATTATCTTCAAACGCTGCCGGAAGATTCGTAAATAAATTAATTTATAAATGAATGACAGGAAGCGGAAACTCTGAGACTGTTGGTTGGAAAACCTGGAATCTGGAATTCTCCTTCCATTTGAAATGTTTAAAGTTGTACTTTATACGAACACTTTTAAGGTAAAAAGATAAGAAAAACTGGTCAAAACTGAAGATAACGTTCAGAATACCTTCTCTAGTATTTTGTTTAATTTAATGGGAGAAATTGGGTTTCTTCTTGAATGTAACAATGAAATTGATAAGTTTGTTGTCCCTGTGAAATAAGATTTCCAAACAAACTATATTTTCTGGCTACTGATTATAAATGTGCTGATAAACACATTTTTAACGGGAACAATCAATATTTAAACAAATTAGTACAAAAACGGCTTGATAATGGTTGTATAACAGTGGAATAGCTCATTAATGCACATGTTGACTTTCTAACATGTAATGATCATCTGAAGTTAATTTGATTACACAAAACATATTGGTGTTATCATTTTATTTTGAAATATTTTTTTCATCTAATTTTATTTTATTTCATAAAAATCAACAACGCAGATGCTTTCTTTCTTATTCCAATGTAAAATACACACTAATCAACATTAAAATGTTTAATACTACATTAATGAATCCAGTCCGGTGGTGTTTCCGGTCCTGGAGCTCCGCGTCTCCGCTCCTGCTGTGGGCTAAGCTAGGCTAGTTCAAAACTCCCCCCGCTAACCGTTACACACTACCGTTATCACCGCTCCCGTTAATGACGTCCTTCATCCCAGCGGGGCGTTTTATACACCAGCACACACAGATTTTATAAAACAGTATTTATTCAGTGATATTGACCTACGATCCGGTTGATTTGAGTCACCGACTGGCCCCCAGCCTGAGCTAAGCTAACAGTTAGCCTCACAGCCAAAATGGCGGACAACGAGGATGACAGCGGTTCTATCAGAACAATAACAGCCGCCGAGCCGCCGGTGCCCGCGGCTCAGTCCCCTGTCGCCAACTGCACTCAGCCCGGGGAGAGTTTACCATCAGCGTCCGCTGCATACATCACTCAGACCGGGGGGAATGTTTCTGCAGCGGCCGCCGACCAAAGCGTTCAGCCCGGGGAGAGTTCACAGACCGTGTTCAGTGCAGAGAGCGGTCAGTGTGGGGAGAGTTTACCGTCAGGATCCGGAGCTCAGCTGGCGGACTTCTTACAGAGCTGCCCGGAGGAACAGAGCATACTTGTGGGCACAGAGTTCACAGGCCTGGGACCGGACCTGGTCAACACCACCATCATCTACGTGCAGCCGGACGGAACTCTGGTAGAGGGGTCCGGGCTGACGGCCGAGGAGCAGCAGGCTTTGCTGGACCAGCTCACCAAGCAGCAGATCGTCCAGGTCTCTGACACCGAGGCCGCCCAGTTGCTCCAGCAAAGCCAGCTGGTTAAAACCATCCCGGTCCACAACGCGGCCCTCGACCCGAGCCAGCTGCAGCAGGTTATCAACCAGGTCACCAAGTCCCAGCAGCATGTCCACATTCATGTCCCCCAGCAGCAGGTCCATGTCCAGGTCCCCCAACAGACCCTGAAGCAGCAGGTCCACGTCCAGCAGGTCCAGGTTCCCCAGCAGGGTCTGAAGCAGCAGGTCCAGGTCCAGCAGGGTCTGAAGCAGCAGAAGCAGATCCAGGTCCAGGTCCCTCAGCAGAATCTAAAGACCACAACCCAGAACAATGCTTCCCAGCAGCTGAAGAGTGTCGCCCAGCAAGTGGCCATGCAGACCTGCAGCTCAGTCCAAGTGGTCCAGAAGAAGGTGGGTCACACATGAGTGCTGGTTAAAGATCAGTCAGGTTCATCTGGACTGTAATGGTCTCACCAGCTTCAGACAGATCCAGACTGTCGCTCCCCCCGGTTCAGTTCATCTGCTCTGTCAGAACAGGACTCAACCGGTCAGTCAATGTTCACTTAAAGCAGGGGTTGCCAAACTGAGGGTTCAGACAGGGTCCAGCGTAGATCTGATCTTATTGACAGGAGATGATTGAAAGAAGATGATCGACCCAAGTGTTACCTGCTGGATTGCTGGGTGTTGTTTTTTCCTGAGGCCTTTTTAGATAATTCAAATAAAATGAGAAAAAACTGTTTTAGGTTGAAGTTGAAACATTATTTTGCAAGTGAAAAAATTACTTAATTGGTTAATTGGTTTCTGGTTTTCTGTCCTTTCAGTCGGAGCCCGTCAGGATCCAGATCCAGGTTCCTCCCAAACAGGAAGTGAAGCCTGGCGCCGCCCTGCAGCAGAAGAGTGTAGCTGTCAATCATCCACAGGTGAAGCTGTCGGCTAATGGCAGTGTGAGCAGTGCTCAGATTATCCACATCCAGCCTGTGGTTGGTCAGCAGGGTCAGCAGTTCTTCCTGCAGCAGAGTGCGGGGGACCCACCCATCCAGCTGCTGCTGCAGAGCCCCACCCCCGTTGTTGGATCTCTTCTCCCATTGGTCCACAAGCTGACGGGCCAGACGACATCAACGGGAACCACCTCCGGTCCAGGTCAGAAATCTGTAGCATCCCCCATCAGAGTCCAGACCCCCTCCACTGTTAAGACCACGGCCACCTCCATCATCAAGACACCACCCAGTTCTGCTGCTAAAACTGTTAGCGTCCCGCTAATTAAAAATCCCACTAATGGCACGACAGCAGCCACCAGTAAGAGTTCTGTTAAACCACCTGCAGTGGTAGTCCCAGTCCAGACCACCACACCTGCCCGGCCTGCCACCGTGACCACGCCCCCTGCTGCTCTGCCCCCTGGACACCCAGGAGTGAAGGACAAAGAAAGAGAAAAAGAGAAAAAGAAGGTGAAAAAGAGGGAGAAGAAGACGGTGAAGGTCCAGACCAGATCAGGTCGGGTCTCCAGACCACCAAAGTACAAAGCCAAAGACTACAAGTTCATAAAGACGGAAGACCTGGCCGACAGCCACCAGTCTGACTCTGACGACTACTCCGACATGAGCGTGGAGGAGGAGGAGGGAGAGGGTGGGAGGAACGATGGTCCCTCCCCCGGCGCCTCCACCTCCCTCACCTACAGCCACAAGTCCCGGTCCCACCGCTGCCAGACCTGTGACAAGGCCTACATTGGTCCAGGAGGCCTGAACCGGCACTATAAATTGAACCCGACGCACGGAGATCCCGATCCACCTGGCAGTCAGCCCGGCAACATACCAGGCACACTAAGAGACATCAGCCAACCACAGGAGACGACAGTCAGAGAGGAGGAGAAAAAGAAGGAGGACAAACCTGCTGCCATGGCAACGAACAGAGTAAGAGAAACTCAGAAGATAAGTTTGAGCTTTTAGCTCTGTAGTTTATTACTGACTGGTTACTAACTGGTTACTAGCTGGTTAATCAATGGCTCATAAATAATAACTGGCTATTGACTGGTTAATTACTGTATGACTTACAAAATAATTACTGTGTTGTTAACTTCAAATTACTGAGTAGTTGATAATCTTTTCTACTTATTTACTATGTGGTGTAATAACCTGGTTAATTAGTCTGATTAACTAACTAGTTAATTAACGTCTGGTTACATACAGTGATGACATCTGTCCGACTCAGATTGATTATTATAGGATGATTATAGATTATATAAATATTGATCATCATCTAACTGACATCTTTTTATAAAATAATAGAACATACATCTCTGATATTCATCTAAAAATCAAACTACATAAACTCAGAGTGAGACACCATACTCAGGTAACACACCTGTGTGTGAGAGACACACACACACACACACACACACACACACACACAGTGTTACACTGTTGCATCCTCCCAGCTGACATCAGTGTACAACAGTTTAAATGTGTTTCCACAGGTTGTCATGACGACTGATGACTCGACACTAATAATAACAAAACAGTATTTTTAGTGAATTATTCTGATTGACTAGTTAATGATTTGTCTTGTTTATTAACTGGTTTATTACAAACTAGTTAATGAATGCGAGATTACCTGACTCGTTATTTAAGCACTAGTTAACTTGTGACTATTTGACTGGTTAGTTGTTGTCAGGTTGACTTCCTGTCTGTCTTCAGGTGGAGGGGGGTCCAGCAGCAGCTGTAGGACTCAGGGGCCTCCATCACCGGGGCCCTGGACGGCCTCGGGGACGAGGAAGAGGCAGGGGCCGGGGACGGGGTCGGGGCCGGGGTCGATCACTGGCTCCACCTCCTAAGGTGAGTTCACTGGTTTAACCTGGATTTTTATTGAATAAAAACTTCACTCAGGAGTTTTTTATTATTCTTCATTGATTGATCAGCTGATTGGTGCATCCTTTACAACAGCAAAATAATCAGTTAATCTGATTGATTCATTATCTCAGGTGACGGTGGGCCTCGTCAGTAAGCGGGGTCGGCGCGGGCGACCTCCGAAGCTCAGTGTTACCACGGTAACAGCAGAGCAGCATGCAGAGAGGAGACGAGACCGCTTGCAAGAGGTAAGAGAAGAAAGAGGAGATAGGGGCTTTACAGGCCTGGTGTAATGATCTGTACTACAGGTGTATGAAGTGTTCTTGTGTTTCCATGACGACCATGTGTTGTTTGCAGCTGGTGGAGCAGTGTGAGGATGAGGAGCTGATGGACATCGTTCTTCCTCGTTTGACCAAAGTGTTGAGTCTTTGGGATCTGCTGCTGGCAAAGGTACAGGCTGTAGTCTATACACACGCACTATACACACACACACACACACACACACACACACACACACTACATACACACTACAACCTCTCTGTACTGCAGTGCAGTGAGATGAGACGTTTGCTTCTGTAGCTGCTTCTCTGTCCTGCCAGAACATTGTGGAGAAGATGGTTGGTATTGTCTAAGATGGCCTCCATCTTACATTGCATGCGTCTCTCCACAACAGTCCTGAGTGAGTCCAGACTCCTGCCAAGCACAGACCCAGCCTTTTGGACCAGCTTGTCCAGTCTCTTTGTGTTCATGTCAGACATGCTGCTGCCCAGCAGACTGCAGCATAAAAGAGTACACTGGCCACCACTGACTGATAAAACATGTGCAGCATTGCAGACTGCACACTGCAGATGTCAAAGGACCTGAGCCTCCTGAGGAAAAAGAGCCGGTTCTGCCCGTTCAGGTAGATGGCATCCGTGTTCAGGGACCAGTCCAGTTTACTGTCCAGGTGCACACCTAGGTATTTATAAGTATGCACCACATCAGTGTCCTTCCCTCGAATGTTGGCTGGCTGAAGGGGGTGGACCTAGACCTCCGAAAGGCCATGACCATCTCCTTGATCTTGGAGGTGTTCAGAAGGAGGCAGTTCTTGTCACTCTATTCACTGAAGGCCATCATCAGATCCCTGTACTCCTCTTCCTGCCCGTTCCTGATACACGCCACAATAAATGTGTCCCTGAGACACAGTTACCCAGCCTGACATACTGTGGTCGTCTTGTCGGGTAATCCACAATCCAGGATGTGAAGCAGGGATCCAACCCCATCCCCTCCAGCTTGTCTTTAAGAATGGGGGGGTTGGATGTTGTTAAATGCATTTGAGAAATCAAAGAACATAATCCTCATGTAACTACCTGGCTCATCCAAGTAAGAATGGGCCTAGTGGAGCATGTAAAGGACGGCATCATCCACTCCAATATGTTCTTTGTAGGCGAACTGTAGGAGGTCTAGTGCGTGTTCAACCTGTGGCCTCAGAAGGTGGAGAAGCAGCCGCTCCAGGGTCTTCATGAAGTGTGATGTGAGGGCCTGTAGTCATTTATCTCAGCCGGTCGTCCTACTTTAGGGACCAGAAGAAGACGTGATGTTTTCCAAAGGACCGGGACCCTCCCTGTTTGTAGGCTTAAGTTGAAGATCCTCTGGAGAGGCTCAGCCAGCTGGGCTGCACAGTCCTTTAACATCCTCGGACACACATTGGCCTTTTCCACATCACCTGATGTTGCCTGGCTGTTCTTCTCTTTATAGCCAGTGATGGTCCTCATCCCCTTCCACACCTCTCTGGTGTTGTTGTGCTGCAGCTTCCTCTCTACTTTCTTTTTCTAGTCCTCCTTCGCCTGCTTTAATCTCCTCTTAAGCTCATGTTGAATACACCTGAGCTTTCTCCCTGTCTCCATCCCCGAAGGCCTCCTTTTCTGGTTGAGGAGGGTCATGATGTTACTGGTGATCCAGAGTTTCTTGGTTGGAAAGCAGTGTACAGTTCTTGCTGGTATTACAGTGTCCATACAGAAGTTAATGTAGTCCATGGTACATTCAACCATTCTATCAAGGTTAGGGTTAAGATAAGAGATTTAAAACAGGACAGGAGCAGAGAGCAGAAAGTCTAATACCAAGTTAGCTCCCCTCCCAGGTATAGCTTTAGGAGGGGTATCTGGTCTCCCTGTTTCAGCTAGGTACTGCAACAAGCTCTGGGGATCTCAGGATTGTATCTTTGCTCCTTGCAGATGATGTGAAAAACTGAATTACTGAACAATTCAGATGATGCTCTGTTTATTTCAGGTTGAATTAAAAAAACAAACCCAGAACAATCAGCTGGATAATAGTTGCTTTTCATTAACCCATGTTCTTATAATGTAGTTAACTCTGTGTGTGGGCTCCAGGCTGCAGCTACAAAATAAACACACCTGGAGCTTTTCTCTGTATGTATGAGACTGACTTTCACTGTGTGTGTGTGTGTGTGTGTGTGTGTGTGTGTGTGTGTGTGTGTGTGTGTGTGTGTGTG